ATGGCTGCTCCACGAAGACAACACAACGTGAGCCAATATAAAGCATGCGATACATGGTTGCTCCTTCCTCTTCACATCTTTCGTAAGTTCTTTACGCTTAAAAGCACACTTTGTCATGCCCTTTCACATGTGGAAGATGTGATGAATAATGCCTATAAGCAGATATTTCGGATGCCTTACCTGTATTATTTATTCAAGCAAACTCTTTGGCTTGATAGAGTTTATTCACTGCCTAAGAATATATTTGCTTTACATGTTTATCCCTGAGGAATATTCTTATTCCAATCATTTCTAACGAAACCTTTTCTTAGCCTTCGAGATTTAGTTCTGCAACCACACATAATTCTCACAAAATGATACATAAAATGTGCCTGCCCTGTGCCTGCTTCCATTTCTTCATTGTTCTGCTTTAAGCATAAAGTTATATAAATAAACAATTAGTTGTGAAAGTGTGTGTTAAATTCGTGGAAATGTTTTTAGCTTTGCCTTTGACAAAAAAACTGAGAGAGAAAGACAGAGAGCAGCGGCACTCACACCCCCACACATGCAATCACCCAGGGCCAATGTAAAAGGGCTCGATTATGCTCCCAGCGGGCTTCTGCTGCCTTCCAGCGGCCAAGTTTTATTATCAGCCGCGCCGAGAGACGTCGCAGTAGTAGCAGGCGGGGGTTGGGGGCTAAAAAGAAGCAACAATAAAACTCATAAAATATGTTTGCCATCAGACACACAGAAACGCAAGCAGAAACAGAAAGATAGGCAGCCGTTTTTTTATACACTTTCTCGCGGGGTGTGTGTGAGAATTTGCAAGAAGTTGGCGCAAAGCCTTTAAGCTGTGATCGAAAATAATACGAAAATAAATTAAACTAAATGGAACCAGTTTTGACTTATTTAAGACTGAAACTTGCAGAACAATCGCTCGCTAGCTTAAGGCGCAGGCAATCCCCAAGGCCAGTTAGGGTATCAACTGCATCGACTCCCGCCTCTGCCTCTCTGCCAGCCTGCTCTGGCCTGCCTGCCCATGGTGAATTTACTTACGGGTGAAGTCTTCACCACAGGGGAGTGTCTTCTCCATCTCCATTCCTTCCCAGCGCTTGTTTCTCTGCGCGTGGTGAATATCTGATTGCTGCTCCCCACAGCGGCCAACGTCACCTTGCAAGTAAATTCCCCTTGCGGCTGCCCTGCCCTCTGCATGTTGTATTTGTATTTTGCTGCTTTATTCTTCATTTAACAGCATGGCCCCTTGGGGTGGTGCCAGAGCCCACCCACAGTGTGCGCTGTTCCGGTGCTCCGCTGCTCCTTCGTTTCTGCTTTGTTTCGGCTGTCCTGCTTTTAGGCTTATTATATGCCAGCCTTGCACTCATTTAAACCATTTTAAAGTAATTTTTGCTTATAGCTAATTTTAAGCTATTGCCCTGTGGTGGCCTCGGCAGCTCAACTCCTTTGCCACCTGCTTTGCGGTTAGCTGCCACCAATTGCCCTGCTCCCTGCCCCTGCCTGGTTTTGTTGTTGTGCGCCTTTTTACGTATTCTGCCGTTTTTTATTTTTTTATGACAGCTATTGCTCCGCCGAGACAGCGACTGTTATGGCTTTTCTTTGCATTTCCTCACTTTGGACTTACTTTTGCCTCACTTTTTCACTCCTTCTTTGCGTTTCCCTTTCGCTTTTCGTTTGCTTTTGGTTTTGCGTTTCCTTTTTCCTTTTTCCTTTTCCCTTTCATATTTTTGTTTTGCTGCTAGCCACAAAGTATTTCAGTTAATTTATTATTTATTAAACTTTTGGCATCCATTAGCAGCGCTGAAACTTTCACTTTATAAATTGACAATTTGTTATGTTGCCTGCCCAACCCGCCCGCTCGTTGTCTATTATTTATTTGCCATCTGTTGGGAGTATCTCTAGCTGTAACTTTTTCTGGAAATTATTATCCATTTTTCATATCGAATCCTGCGACCCCGGCATAAAAATTAAACATTAAGATGGCGCACACGGCCTAAGCCCCAGATCTCTGTCACTTGAGGTGCGGCTAAGAATTATGTTTCTGTGCGGGATTTACTCGGCAACTTGTACAGCGCTTAACTGCTGTGCTGGGGTTAAGCTGTCGCACAAAGAATGCTCCGGCAAAAACAATGAGAGTGGCCCACAATAGCCGCTCCTCGGCCAGGAAATTTCTAATATTTCTTTTTGTTTTTGTTTCGCCACTGGGGCACGCACTGTGTGTGTGTTTGGGCTGTTGACTTCAAATTGAGTTGTGGGGCAGTAAAAATAAAGAGAGAGAGAGAGAGAGACGCCAGCAAGTGCCACTGGAGGCCAAGCGGCAATGCGACAAAAGTCAACTGCTGCAAAGGGAAACGGCCATGGACGATGGACCAAGGACCGAGGACCGAGGACTGCTGCTGGCCAAGTCTCAGTGTGAAGATATTTATGGCCAATGGCCAGAGGACGCTGGCCGACCACTTGGCTTTAGCGGCTCGACTCTCTCTCTCTCTCTCTCTCTCTCTCTCTCTCTGTGTTTGTAAGCCGTTTAGGGTTCAATCTCGTTGGGGTCGAGTTCCCACGTCGCATGAGTGATATGAATGCAGTCAACAAACCAATTTTACGAATGTTTCTCCCAGTCCCAGCCCCTGTGCCAGTCGCGGTCTCTGCTGCTGACATATTTGGCATTTAAATTGCTTCAAATGATGGGAATTATCGAAATGCACAATTGATGTTGTTCATCTGTGGTGTGAACGTTAAATCAAAACTAATAAATTGGCTAAATGCACAAATAGAAGGACAGCAAGTGGTCGACTTACGACGCGGGCATTACCCAGGGATGCGATTTATGCAGACCTGCCAGACAGGTACAGACGGAAAGAGCGGAAACGAGTTATTCGTTAAGAGATTTTTGTATATTTTTTGGACATGTATTTAGCTTTATTTAACTCTTTGGTAAAGTTTTTAATTATCTTCATTTATAACCAATTTGAAGGCCTCTTCATGGGTTCCCAAATAATCCCAAAATTCGCAAAAATTCCCCGCCTAATGGTCAGCCAAAGTTTTGTGGAATTTGTTCATGTGATGTGGGCGTGGCGGTTGCATATGTCAAATAGCATTTATCGGGGGGCTTAGAAATTGATTAAAAATTAAATCAAAAGCTGCTAAAAATCGCACATAATCTGGGCAGCACTTTTGGGATTATTTTAGTAATTTAATTAGTAAATTCTAAATCTAATTTAATGCCAAACATTTCAAGTCGAATCAAATTATTAACACCACCCAAAAAAGTCAAATAAATATGAATTTAAATGTGTTGTCAATGCCCTTTGCTTGGGCATGGAAATCCAAATAGAACTTCACCTTTTGCCACAGCTACGAGCCACTATTTGCGGCACTTCATGGCACACACACACGAGGGCACCAGGGATAACCCTAGACATGGCAACACAAACCAGGGGCAGAGCAAACACATTTCAATTGCCCGACAAATCCACTTTGGAATGTTAAATGCACTTGCAACATGTTTCTGCCACACCGCTGCCAGTCGATACAGCTCAAGCCAGTGCCAGGGGAATGTCGGGACAAGGGTAAACACATTTAACTTTCGATCAGGGCTGGGGGTGAGGAGAGACTGAAGCATTACTTGCGCTACATTTCACAGTTCAACAAATCACCTGCACATATCTGGAGAGTCCACCGAGTGTCTCTCCCCTCAGACACTCACTCCCTGTCCCTGGCTGCCTCACACCTGACGCCGCTGTTTACAGCACTTGAAAATGAAAATAAACGCATTTCAAGCTAATTAAACAATAAAAGAGCAAAAGAGCACAACCCAAAAGCGAAATGCAATAACAAGGAAAATAAAAATGAAGGCAAATTGTGGGGGACAGCAGAAGGGGAAGGATGAGGGAAAGGAAAAGGGAAAGCCACTGCAGCGACGGAATGTAATTCAGCAAATAAAAGTGCACGGCATTGGCATTAGTCCGGGGTGTTGACGGGGTGGGGCAAGCGGAGAAAGGGCGTGGACGAGGGAACAGCAAGAGGGCGTGGCACTCTCACTCGTTCAACCCCCCCCCTCCGACGCACCGACAGCTGACAAAGGCGAGCGCGCGACTTGAAAGTAGGCAACAAAGACGACGACAGCGATGGCAACGGCAACGGCAACGGCGACGACGTGGCACAATGATGTTGCAATTTAATTTGTATTGTCGCCGGGAACTGTAGCTGGGCGACACAATTGCAGTGGCAGCACGGAGAACGTCTGGTGTGTGCCGACTGACGATGATCACCCTGATGATGATGCTGATGCTGATGAATCCACTTAAGCGACAAGAGTAGCAGCAGCAGCAGCATACAGAGAAGAGCAGCAGCCAGAGGAGAGCAGCCAGAGTGTCGCTTAATTGAACAGCCAAAGGATGACATGAGCAGACAATGGCAGCAAACCTGCCACTGTACACAACACACAATACACGTGGAAATTTGTGTTGGGGTGTGTCTCTCTCTCTCTGACTTAACTACGGGAGCTGCAAATTGGATTAGCTAAAAAATAAAGTACCCCAAGAAGTGCATTCGAGTAGCCCACCAACACTGCTGGAGGTGAATTCAGCTAATCAAGTCTCGTGGAAATAAATATAACGTGTGTTGCAGGTAGCTGAAGGTAAGAGCATAACCAAAAGAAGACTGGGATTGCTCTTGAAATAAATACAGCGTGGTTGGAGGGAGCTAAAGGCAAGAGTATAAGCAAAATCCAGCTTGGTTTGCTTCACATTTCACTTTTAAATCATCCAAATTCCAGCAACAAGTTCTACAAAGTCTGGAAAATCTGTGGAGCTTCCCTCTAAACAGTTGAACATCGAGTAGAGCTGCTCCAAACCCACCTTGAACCTCTCCTAAAACCCTTCTTAAATTCTCCATTTTCATTTATTTATTACAATTCTGTTTGCCTTCTTTTTTCAAGGCCTTTCTAGGCTGAATAAATGTTTGTTGTAGCGTTAGACATAGAAAAAAGATGGTAGGCTAATGGTTAAGGCACTTGCTGGTTGCTGTGGCTAATCGCGGCACAGACGCTTGGTGGGTGGCTCCTCATCGGTGGGCGCTATGGACTGCAGCAGCGAGGAGTTTGTGTGGCTGCCAAAGAGCGTCAGCAGCAGCGCAACGCCATAGCCAGTGGCACGTTCTCCCTGTAAACAACAACAAAATATAGATAAATATGCATACATTTAGTGAACAAATAACTTACGCAATGAACGGGCGTGGCCATGTCAACGTGCATCCAAACGCCGTGATAGTCAAAGCCCAAATGGGCGGCCACAAAGATGCCGGCGCACGAGGATTGGGCATTCTGTCGATCCTGCAAAAGCGAAGAAGAAATCAAGAGTTAAACATGTAGGACATAGAGCCGTGTGTGTGTGTGTGTGTGTGTGTGTGTGGCATGCAACAAGCAGAACTTGGCGTCGCTTTATTAAAAAAATGGCGTCCTGTGGTGTGGAGCGCAACAAGAAAATATATTTATAGAGACGAATGTGCAAGTCGAGGGCAGTTCGACAACAAGACAGGAGTTTACCATCTTTTTCAGTCAATACGGCAGCCCCATTAACACCAATAACCCAAATCTGGCAGTACGGCAACCCAGGAATACTAATAACCTGAAAAATACCGAACAAATGGCCACTTTAAAACCATGCAGATCGACGCTCGATCAATTATAGAAAAGGAGAAACAAGAAAATTCGTGCAAAAAAAAGCATTAAATGAGTTACACAAAAGGAAGCCAGCAAACCAAAGTATGAGCTACAAGAAAGGGACAAGTCAAGAGAGAAGGAACAGCAAGAGAAAAATGCAATTCAGCAAAATGAAATTGTACACAGCACAAAGGAAATTAGTCGCCTTCAGTTGTTGGCATTTCTCGAGTGCCAGCAGCAATCCACTGCCCCCAAGGCTAACTGGATTAATTCATTCAAATTCGAGTGCTGCAGGAACAAGCACAAAACTTGCAAATGAAACAAACATTTTCGATGCAGAAAATGCTTTTGTGGATCCATTCAAGTGCTGAAATGATTCCCACTTTAGTGTCGCCTACTGTTGAATCACACCTCGTGGGTTGCTTGCTTGGTTTGGGTGTGCTAATGCCTAAATTATATGCCATGCACTGGCAGCTGCACGGCGGAAGCAGTCGCTCTACTAACTTGAGCGGAAATTGCAGCGCTTAAATGCCAAACATAAAGTACACAGGAAACACACACAGGAGGCAGCAGCAGCAGCAGCATCAGCAGCGAGGACCAGCCAAATAAAGGAGAAATGCAACGCACACTGGCACCCTGCTGCATGCTGCATGCTGCCTGCCTGACAGTTGGCCAAAAAAAGGAGTTAACTGGCAGACTTCAGCAGCAGAAACAGGCAGCAGGCAGCAGCAGCAGCAGGACTCAAGCGGGACAGGACTAGAGCGGACAGCTGGGGGTATGCTGTGCAGTGAAAATTACATGACAACGCGCGTTCTGTTGCTGCTCAAGATGAAATTCACACACATGGGCAGGACGTGCAAACATCGTCCGTTGAGCAGCAGCGGAAGTTAAAAGTCCATTGAAGCAACAGAGGAAGGCAGAGGCAGAGGGCAGTCAGGCAGTCAGGCAGTCCGCCAGTCAGGCATACAGCAAAGGATCCAGCAAGCGAGAAGACGGGCCAAACACCACACTTGACGTTTGTTTTTCTAGCAGTTGTTCCAAAGAGCTTTCTGCTTCCTACAAATGCTGATGCTGTGGCTGCCGCACTGCCACTGCCACACTGCTTTTGGCGGTTTTTGCAGCTAATAACAAGATTTTGTTATGAAACTTGCGGCTGTCGCTGCCACTCCACTTCGAGTCGCTGCGATGCGATGCGATGCGATGCGCTGCGATTCGATCTGCCTGGGGCATGTGTGTCTTACATAGCTCCCCCCCGAACAACTTGCATCCTGCTAAATCAAGTCGAAGGCAAAGCGGAAGTGGTGCCACCAGATTGATGCTGTCAGAGTTTACATGCACTTTAAGCGGCAGCAGAAGTTCTTTATGAAGCTGAAAATGGTGCAACAAAAGCTGGAAATATCGCTAGAGGGGGAGCGAGTGTAAAGTGCTGCCAAAAATCGAAGGCCTTCAAATCTGTGCTGTATCTGTGGCGCTAATTAAATGTTTAACAATCCCCCGGTCAGGCCGAGCACACGCACAGAGAAACAGAGTCGCAGTCCCTGCCCCAAACCCGACCGAGCGTGCTTTCCATCAATAATGGCAAACATTTGTCAACATAATGTCATTAACATTGATTGCATTAGGCCCCGCCATTGATTGTCTCTCTCTGCCTCTCTCTCTCTCTCTCTCTTGGCCTTTGGTAAACAACCAGGCTGGGGCGCACGCACAAACAGATAGAATTTGCCACACACATAGCCAATGCCCTGTCCTACAGTTTGACAATGGGCACCGTCAACTAATTGCGCTTTAGAACGTGACCAAAAGCAATCCCACACAAAACAGCAACACAAACCCACCACCCAGCAACCCCAAACAATCCAACGCCCGATCCCGCATATGACGGACATGTGCAAGTGTCGACGTTGACGGAAACCAGGTCGCAGGTCGCTGGTCGCTGGTCTCTGGTCGCTGTCCAGCATATCCGCAATTGGCGATTCATTTGCGATTAACTTGATGTTAAATTAGCCAGCGAGCAGTGTCATTGTTTCGCACTTAAGCTGCGGTTGCTGATATTCAATCAGCACGATACACGAGATACCACGAGAGAGAGAGAGAGAAGTATCTTAAAGCCAGGCAACGGGAGTCTGACAAAAGATTACACCACTGACAGGCGTAGCTGCTGAAGCCGCCCCCCAGGCAGCAGCAGTCAGTCTCTGCTCTCAGCTCTGGCAGTGGCAGTGGCAGTGAAGTATCAATTACACATTCATTCAATAAGCGAGCAACGAACGAGCAGCCAAAGGGATTTGCCACGCCCCCCCCCCCCCCTCTGCCCAACAGCATCGATGCCAGCCATCGAAACGACTCGCTGAAGGCGGCAAACAATTTTTTATTCAATTTTCGCAACGTCGCGCTGCACTTTAAAAAACTTATCCCAGCCAAGGGGGAGGAGCAGAAAAAGCACACAAAAATATTAGAAACATTCAATGGGATGTCGCCTCTTCAGATCTCTTTTGCTTGCAAAAGTTGAGACGGAAATCGGAGCATAACAAGCGGAAAGATTGCTGCGAAGGCGGTGACGTGACTTGGCCAGGCCCAGGCGCAATACACTCCTCCGCCTCAATGCTCTGCCCTCTGCTGTGGCATTTAAACCCACTAAGCTGTGGCATTATTTATGCACTCGCCGACTTTAATCAAAAACTTAACTCTGGCTAAGCCAAACCGCAACAGGAACGAACAACAGCAAAATCGATGGGGAATACTCAAAGGACTCTGGGAATACTCTGAGAATATTTGGCGCCTGCAGGAAATGCCGTAAAAAAACTTTAGCCGCATAAAAAGTTCAATTTAATTCATTAAAGCACGTAAAAAGTCGCCACGCCACGCAACGCCACGCCACGCCACGCTCTGCCCTGCCATTGAATTTAAAATGTCGACGCTCAATAAAAAGTGTAAAACAAAAGCCAAACAGCAACAAAAAACAATTACGCATACGTAAAGACATCGCCACGACAACAGACTGCAACACGTTGCTGCCACAAGGGGGCATGGAGGCTCCATCTAAAATTCATGCTCTGCCTGCAGAACATTTTTACGATTTAACATAAAAATCAATTACCAACAATGGCAACAAATTTCAGCCAGCCATAAAAATGGAGCAAGCAACTTTCCGTCTTAGACGCGCCGAAGAAAATTGAGAAACAATTGCAAATGTTTAAGCAAATTTTATTGCACTGCCGCCGTGTTGCTTATGTTTTACTTATAACACAGTTGCCTCCCCCGCTCAGCTGATGCCCAGAGAGAGGGCCGGCAAGAAGTCTGATTTAGCCATGGATTGGGTAGGCGGCTGGCGTCTAGGTCGCGGTCATAAAGTTTCCCAAATTTTGGGATGATATTTCTCTTTGATTTGATTTTGCTTACTTTCTTATGTTTGCCTGGTGCTTAGTGGCTTGGAAGGGCGGGGCATTCATTCTTAGGAGTCCAACGAGACACCCAAAAAAGGTTAAAGTTTACGTGAAAGTAATTCGAAGAATATCGAAATTTAATGGGAATTTCGAGGGCTCATTTCGAGACGTTGACCATCAGAAGCGGAGAAGCATTTACTGACATTATTTTAGCAATAAAAAGTTGGTAAAGCTGGAGATATTTTAAGGTTTTAAAACATTTTTAAATAATGCAATTGATGCTGAAAATCGAACGAATTTGTGCAGAAACTATTCCATTATTTGGTTAAACCTGAGCCTATATTTATGCGCCAATGCAGCCTCTCTACCCAATCGATTTATGTGCCTTTCCCAAAGCTTTCTCTAATTATCTGCTTACAGGCTTCAGCACCACTAAATCGATTTCAATCGACTGCCCTGACAGCCTCCATGACGGGTAGACCACCACAAAATACGTGTATGCCACACGAGGGAGATGCCAATTCCATGCCAAAACTGGCCACTGAACAGTGAATTGTAATCAGTTATTTAAAGGGCGGCACCTGGCCCAACCTGCTGTCCGTGCGGGTGTCTGCCAAAATGAGGCACAGCCACAGCCACAGACAAAGCCAACAAAGCGCCCGTCGACCGCTAACAACACTCATAATCCCTCCATTTAGTGGCAGACCGTGGGGGGGAGAGGAGCCCCCAAAGACAAAGGGCACCAACCAAAAAAAAAAAAAGTGTGCCAGGTCATGTAATTTAAACGCAGCGCCTGGGAATTTGCGTCAAAGGCAGCAGCCAGCAGCCAGCCGGCAGCCGCCAAGCAGCAGCTAAAACACCAACAACAACAAAAAGAACTCCATTTTGGAGTCCACGGTACGTGGATGGGTTTGGCAGGTATTTCAGAACTTTTTTGCATTTAGCGTTGAATGCATTTGGAATTTAAAACACTTTATCACAGACACCCATTGACAAAGTGCGCGGCGCTGTCACATCAACTGCAACACGGATGAGAGCAGGGGGGGCAGTGGATGACTGCATGTCGTGTGTGTGTGTGTGTGGCATGCAAACCTGCAATGGTGTGATATTTTGACTTGATTCCTATATTTTTTTTCCCACAGGAGACACAAACAAGCGGGGCCAAAAGAGATGGAAAGAGAGCTGCGGGTCGAAAGTCAAACAGGGAGAATCACTGGCAGAAATTAGAGGGAGCTTAAGGGAAGGTAAAGCGAAGGTAATACCAGAGCTGCGATTACGAATTATTATAGTATTTATATTTAGCCAAAGTTAGTTGACAACTAGAAGCGTAAACGTTTTCAATGGCTATGAAATATCCCTTTGGATTCTTGGAGCTTCTCTTTTGCATATTTCGCTTGTGCATCTATCTGTTGGGTAGTCAAAAAAAAGACTCGCATAACAATGGAAGCAATTGGAAGCAAGGCACGCGCTCGATTCAAAGCATTCGAATGTAAAAAACGAAAGCAATTTGCGGCTTTCCACGACTTTGCTGGCGCGCGTGTAACGTTTGTGCGCATTTTTTTTGCCAGTGCACATTGCAGGTACTTCCAACAGCTAGCCAGAGAGGAGAGGCAAAGCCCGAGAGAGAGTTAGAAGAGTGGAGGAGAGGGAGTGAACGATTGGCAGGTAGCCAAAATTGCCACGCCACTTGACCTGCCTGGCATTTACGCACCAGTCCCGCACTTCGTCCTGCTCCCGGCCACCCACTCGCCCACGGCGTGACAATGATGAATGACCATTGATCCGAAGCGTTTTCGACGTACAATAAGGTAACTCGATTTGGTTTTGCTGTTGTGGCTTGGCTTCGGTGCCCCGAGGGCTTGAGTCGGCAGCAGTGCAGCCAGGCAGCCAGGCAGCTCCACTGGGATGGGTTTATTGCTGCCCATCCTTTGCCTCCTCTAATGGCTGCAAAAGTGGCTGCTGGCATAGATGGAACGCCAAAGTTTTTGATACATGCGAGGGCTACATGGGTGTGGCATGAGGTCTGTGGCATAAATCAGAGTAATACTAATCAATCTTTAAACCAAACATGACGTTCATCATTTTTCCGCAATGGTGCGGTGCGGTGCGGTACGGGGCGGTGCGGTCGAGCGAAGACAAAAGAACAACATTGAGTGCAAGCGATAAAGTTAATTAAAAATGTGTGTAAAATATCTCTAGAGCAAAGAAAAAACAGACATGAAGAAAAATGTAGTCAGAATGTAGTGGCAGGAAGGAAGTGGATACAGAAAATGAATTGAAAACAAATGAATAAAGTTACACCGAAACTTGATTAAAACTTTTTCAAAGTCACTCTCTCACTCTCTCTCTCTGTCTTCTGGTTGAGAATCGAATCTATGAGGCTGGGCAAAACTTCCACGCGGCATGGGGTGTCTTCGATAATGCATAAATTAAGCTACTTTAGGGATTTCCTCTGGGTCGTCTGGCTGTGCCTCTAGCTGAGGTCGCTGCTGCCACATTGATGAAGAAAAAGGAGCGTGGCAATGACTTGGAGAAGTGTGAAGAAAAATAGTTTGGGTTAAGGGCGAAATAATTCGATTTGATTACAGAATTTCCAGGCATTAAAAGAAAACTTAAGATAAAGGTAAACTAAAGGTAAAGTTTTGCTATTATTCATTCGTTAAAGATCTAAAATATTGGAACTTTTTGTTCTCTATTTATATTGCTTTTATTTATTTTATCTTAGCAAAAAAAGCAAAAGGGGAAAGTGTAGATTTGTACTTACCGCCACAGAGTTTTTCATATCGGCAAGGGCCGATGCGAATTCAGAGAAATGCAATTCGGGGCAGTAAATGATGGGCGCCAATAAATCGCCAGATTTGCGTCCAGCCTGCAACGACTTGGCCTCCCATGTCTCCGAGTTTGTCAATATGGCGCCATGGTATTTGCCTGTTGCTACGCCCTAAAAAGAAAGAAAATATAGAAAAGAATAAACAAAATGTGAGTGTATGGCAAATGAAATATTCAATGGCATGGCTGAAAGATATATTTAAAAGTCAACCCAAAGCCAGTGCCCGCCCCTTGGTAGCCCGGGGTGGAGGTTGATAGAAAACAAGCAACAATCAACAAAATGCCAGCAATAAAACGGTAAAGCAACTAACAATGTTAAAAGGCTGAGAGGAGAGAGAGAGAGAGAGAGGAGCGAAAAGGAGTGGAGAGGAGAGCAGCAAAGAGGAGAGGCGTGGAGCTGCGAGCAGCGAAAATCAGCAGAGAGGAGAGCAGCGAAGAGGAGAGAGTAGCGGAAAGCAGCGAAAATAACTGTAAGTGGAGCGTGCCGAGAGGTTTGCAGGAAGCAGCAACGAAAATTGCGAGGCTTCCGACGCGACCAGCAATAAAAAGGTGCAAGGTTATTTAGCACAAGCAACACCCAAACACAACAGCAGCCCCCCCGTGCGGGACGGTAGGGAACGGGGTGGGCGGTGGCAAGCACTCCGTGGCGCGTGTTAAACTGCAGCCGGACAAATGGAGGCAGCATCAGGCAACAGCAACAGCAACAGCAATAACAACAACGGCAGCAGCAAGCAACATCAGATGCAGCGGCACACACAGCTGAAAACAACAGCAAAAGGTGTAACCAGCAAGCAGGAACATAAAATTTAAAAGAGCAAAAATGCCACAGAAAAGCGAAGAAGAGTAAGTCGAAGCTGGTATACACTTGCCATAATTGTACGAACAATGTGGAATAGTCCATGGTGAAATTAGTAATTCTACCATGGAATCTACCAATAAACGCTTGTCTCTCTGAGAGCCGAGAGTGCGTGGGGAGGTATAGATCCTCACCACAGCGGACGACGTCAGCTTTATAGCAAATTCAAGTTGGTTTGGAACTTTGATAAGCAGAAGGTGAATTTGCGTACACCTTGGATAGGCAGAACTCAAGCCAAGCCAATTGTGTAACACTCTCTGCTGGAGTTAGGGTGTAGGGTATGCACCAAGTGTTTGGCTGCTGTCTGCTGAATGTTGCCTGCCACTGCAACTGTTGTTTCTCTCCAGTTTCCCCGTTGCAGCTGCCCCCGAATGTTGGCAATTAATATTATTGCATCCTGTCTGGGAGTGTGCCTCAGTGTGTGTCTGTGTATTGTGTGTGTGTGTGTGTGTTGGTAATGAAATTAAGCACTACAAGCGCCAAAACGGAATTCTAAACAAAATAGCAAAATGTTGAAAACTTCCCAGGGTGGCCGTGGTGGGCGTGTGGCTGGGGCCAGGGAGGTGTTTGCCGGAAGTGTTCTGGCTCCTGGTTTTAGGCACTGCGGCGGCATTTTGAAGCTATTTTAGGGTTCCAAAGGAATTTGCTTGCCGAAACAATGCAGTCTGCGAAGGCGCGCCCAAGCCTTTATGGGTGCCACGCATTCGCAGTCCTGCCCGTTGCTGGAGCAGCCACTGCCAGAGCCCGTGACCAGCTTCGATTTATTTCCCATCGAACCACAAATAACGTAAATTGGCATCATATTTTAAGCAAATTGCAGTCAAGATTTATGGTAATTGTGCGCCATAGCAGCAGCTACTCAGTCGCTGCTCTCGCTGCAATCGAAAACGAACACCAGCCCAGCTCCATTCCCAGTCCCTGCCGCACGCTCAGCCACCACCCATCCGCTGCCACACACCAGAGGGCGACACCAACAACAACCAACAATCGAATCTCTTTGTTGTTGTGGTTCTGGGAATGCTGTTGCTGCTGTTGCTGCTGCTGCTTCTGCTAGTCTTCTCTCCTCCAAGTTGCCGGCGAAAAAAACAAATTTGCAATTTATTTTTCCAATTAACCTCGTGACTTTTATAAAGCGTGGCATAAATTCTCGCATAAGAGGCAGCAGCAGCCGAGGAGCAGCAACACCAATCTATGTCCAAGGCCAGGTGGTTGGATGGATCTCGAAACGGGCAACTACTTTGGACATTAGCAAAATAATTTGTTGGCTTCGAAGTTGAGGGAATTACTACAGCAGTTTAAGCGAAAACTCAAGGAATCTAAAATCTATTTTTGTGATTTATGTAAATAAATTTACAATAGCTAAAGCAAGAGTTTTCATAGAGCATTCAAAAGCAAATTTTATGGGAATTATGGACTAAATTAATCACAATTCGAGGCCAAATTCGTCGGTCAATGATTCTCCCTTAATGCTGAGCTACTTTCTTTCTGGAAATTCATTGAAATTTGAGCCGTCTCGTAAAGCAAAGAACTCCAACATAAAATCTGCGAAGCTTCTTTCCTAATAAATTAGATAATAAGACAGCCGCGTCAACAACCCTCGATATGGATACTCGGTTGTTTTTCTGTTTCTCTCATTTCATTTCATTGGAGCTTCAATGCCTATAAAAAGTCTTCTTTTTGTGGCAGATACATATTTAAGTAGCAGATAAAACTGCGCAAAAATAATGAATGCTGCTTGCTGTGCCCTGGCTGTGATTATTGTGGGGCTACAAATGTTTATGAAACAGTTGTAAATACTCGCAACAGAAGACGACTTGACTTTGGCCTAAACCATTATCTAATAATTTCTCTAAAAAAATCTCGAAATTGCTCTTCATAATTTGCAGGCTTTTTATCGTTTCTTTCAGTTGATTTTGACAACTTCAAACGAAATAAATACCTGCATCTTTTCAACGACTTCCCAGAGGAAGGCCTCCAATGGCGGCCCTGAAGCAAGCCATAACAGTTTAAGTGTTAAAGTATCATTAAGACCTATAATTTCAGAAGAAGATTGGCCTAACTTCTTGACTATCTTGCAAAGGGAAGATCAAGGAATTTAAGAGATTTATCTTGTGAGATGTAAGAGCTATTTGGGTATACCGAAATCCACTGCTCTACTTTCCAAAGCTCTAGTTATTAGTCGCTAAAGCTGAAACCTTTCAAAAGAGAGTTTTGTAGCCTGTGCTTACATTCTCTCATCTATAATAGAAAGCAAATGCTCACCTGAGCGCCTGTCAGCGTGGCCATGTCGAGTATAATGTTGGCCTTCAAATCCTTGTTGGCAAAGCAAACGCCATCGGCCAGCACCAGGCGGCCCTCGGCGTCCGTGTTGTTGATCTCAACGGTGCGGCCGGAGTACAGAGTGTGAATATCATCGGGACTGCAAAAGGAAAAGGAAACATTTAGTTAAAGACTCTAAAGAGCAATCAATGGCTAGCTAAGTACCGCGTGGCATTGGGTCCCACGGAGTTTTCGGCCAGGCAGAAGACCGCGTGCAGATTGTCCTTGAAACCGCACTTGACTGCCGCATAGAAGGCGCCCAGAATGGCAGCAGCGCCGCCACAGTCACGCTTCATGCCCGGCATGGCAGTCTTGCCTTTGATGCTCAGGCCGCCAGTGTCGTAGACGATGCCCTTCCCCACCAGGGCAATGGTCTCCTGGGCGCCCTTAGGCTGGTGGGAGAGCACAACGAGTGCTGGGGGTACGGCGGCTGCCTTGCCCACACCGTAGATGCCACCAAAGCCGCGCTCGCGCAGCTCCTCGCCGCGGATGATCTGCGGCTCCAGTAACAGCTCCCGGGCCAACTCCTCGATGGTCTGAACAAAGTGATCGACATTCATCTCGTTGCAGGGCATGTCCACAATGCGCGCTGTGAGCCGAATGCCACGGGCCGTCTCGTTCAGGCACTTGATCTCATCTGGGGTGAGCGGGTTGCTCTCAATGCCGCCATCCTTGTCGATCACAACGAACTCCACGTTGACCACGTTGCGACTGTTGTCCCCGTCGCCAGCTTCCCCAGTGGGGGTCTTGGCCTGGGCGCCGTTGCCCGTCTTGCGGGAGTACAGCGGGAAGGCACGCACCACGGCACAGGCGCTGGCAAAGATGTTCTCGCGCTCACAGACCAGCACCACGCTCTCCTCGCTCACATTGAGCACATGGTTCTTCACCAGACGCGTGATGGCGTGGGCACGCGAGGCGGTATTGTGACGCGACGCCTTCAACGGGAGTGATGCCACTGTGGCCACATCCAGATACAGCGACACCTTGTCCGTGGGCGCCGGATGAAGACAGGCAATGGCATTCAGGAAGGTCTCCTCGGTCACACGTGGGCACAGCTTGCTGGCCAGATTGTCGAACTTCAGGAGATTCAGATGACGCAGCTGTCCGATGATCAGCACGGGGTGTGCCTGCGGATCGCTGGCGCTCAACGAGCCATTAATTCTGATGTCCGTGGCCATCTGGAAGAGTAACAGGAATGAGAAATGCGTTAGATTGTGCTCGGCAAATGCGTTAAGCTATGCGATAAGCTGAGTTTGTTCTGTATCTAATCAGAGTTAATCTCGGGATTTACTACATTGCAAAGTGCCCCACATCGTTATCAGTCGACGACTTTGCCCAGGCCATACATAAACACACATTCAATTGATGCTCTTCTGTCATAAATCAAAGCCCCGATAGAAATGCGTGTGCTTAAAAGCTATGCGGAATGTTCTTACAGGCAATTGAATATGTTTTAAGCGAAAGATTTCACAGATTGAAATCTACGCTCCAAATGGGATGCTTGCATCCGATGGTTCCTAGGGCAAATTACACGTTCTGGTCGGTAGCTACTCCTTCGTTAAGTCTTACAGCAAAATTGATCATTGATCCAGGGACAATATTTATATTTATGGGCAGCTCAGGGCAGCTGTTGGCTAAAGATAAGCTCTCATATCATTCTGCAAACATGTTGACCGCCAATGTGTCCAAATTTAGTGTGTTTATTTAGGAACACTTTCCAAACTGTGAGTGCATTGCACAATGAAGTAGCTGCTACTGTTGAATGAGTAAATCATTTCTTATCGCACAAGTGGCAAACATAACGAAACTCTGTTCGACAGATTGCAGCAATGCAGTGAGCGCGTGGCCCACAACTGTTATACACCAAATTGTTCACTCTTTGTGGCGCACACTGTACTTGCTGCACACCACACACATTTACAGCTATACGTGCACATGTTTATGTGCTCTTTTGGAGATCGCCTCGCGAGATTAGTGGGACAGAGAGAGAGAACGCCTAAGAACCTGATATGACCTTGAGCGAGCGTAACGGGACCAACAAGTGGGTCGTTGACCGCTTTGCGGGTGGTCCCCACTTGCGGGGCCGCAGTATAACGGCAAATTGCAGCGCTGCTCGAGCAAGAATATTATCTTGTTTGTCCATGGCGCTGCGCTGGGCTGTTTATGCAAATATTTTGCGGGTTATTTTTAGCATCTGTTGTTTTTCGCCAAAAAATTTATTTTTTGTGCGGCGTCAGCAAACAAATTGGGCTTGGTGCGTCGTCGGCTGTTTTTGGATATCCATTAGTTAAACTGATACATTTTAATACAAATTTGAAACTCTTTTGAGATTTGCAACCCGTTTGGCACCTGTTTTTTTTGGCTCTCACCTTTCCGATGCGGCTGCTGTAGCTGCGGGATACAAATCTGCGTAGGGCCTGAGCGCAGTGCAGTAAACGCATTAACCGGCACTCGGATAGCAGATCGCTGGATAAATTTGTCCTCTAAATTGTGCACTGTCAGTGCAATTCGATTCGACAAATTTTGTTTAATTTTTGCCAATTTGACTTGAACTCAGTGTGACCGCGTGGTTGCCAATAAAATATACCGTCTGACCCTAAAAAATATACCGAAGTATAAATTATCTTTTTCAAAAATTACCAAAACTATACCGATGAAAACTATATTCCTCGACTTTAATATTCTGTTTAATATTGCTGGCATGTTAAGACTCTCAGAGCTGAAAATATAGTTTTTGATGATTAATGAATCAACTGACCACATAATTGCCCAGTTTTTAAGATATTCGTTTATTCGATTGTTTATCAAATAGCGATCTTGAATAATGTGTTAAAGTATACCGCAGCAATATTTCGATACTCCAAACATCGACTGCATTAGTTACTTTTTATAACGGTCTGGCATCCCCTTTTTCCGTGGAAGTATCGATATTCCGACATATCGAAGCGTCCCAAGCAAAACAAACGCCTGGAAAATACAAATAAACGGCGCCGCTCCATTTTAAAAGAATAAACAATAAGCCAGCCATGACCGACATGAGCGATGTGGACCCATCCGACTATCACAGGCGGCTCAAGCAAATCTTCAACAACGAAATTCGACTGCAAAACCGAGAGGCGAACATCAGCAAGCGAAGCTCCAGATTCCACAGCAATCTCCGTGAGTGCCCCCGCCAGCATTTAACCCATAGCAGCAGTACAGTCAATGCATTTTTACAGTCGGCGCCAAGGAGGCCATCGAACGGCAGCATCGGGACTTTGGCAAGCTGCGAAAAACGTTGATGGAGCGCGGCCAGGAACTGGACCGGCGCTACGCCTTGGGCGAGTCATTGAGTCGGCAGCTGGAGGCGACGCGGCAGCACAATGCGGACATGCAGGCGCAGCTCTTGCGACACAAGACAGAGGCCAAGCAGCGCAGCAACGAGCTAATGGAATGGTTTGTTTCCGGCCCGACCCCCTGTTAATAGTTGACCTCAACAACCAATTTTTTTGTTATTTTGGCAGCACGCACACGCTCAAGCAGGCAACGGGCACGTACATCAACCACAAGGAACTGCCTGCGCGTCTTAAAGGGATTACAGTGATGCGGTCCGCAGATGGCGACGCCAAGTGGATACCCTTTGACCTGGATGGCAACGACACCAACGGCCTGCACACGCTGTGGCGGTGTCTGCACACGCGCAGTGACAATGCCAGCAAGTGGCGGCAGCTCCTATCGGATCAGGAAGTGCCCGCTCCAGTTACCCCATGCGCTAATGACAGAACGATAGCAAAGGCGACGTCGAGGTGCAATAATGTTGTGCCGACATCTATAATTGAGATTGATCTCACCTCGCCGACGAATGGCGACTCATGATATGCCGCTGCTGCTGCTGCTGATACTCCACAGTGACAGTATGCCTCCCCGCTGCTGCTCCACAGTGACAGTGTTCCCCCGCTTATCATTAAATTTTAATTAATAATAATATATAACTCGTCTTAAGTTATACGCAAATGAGAAAATTCCAAAGTCCTCCACAGAAAGCGCAGATCGAATCGGCATACAACATCAACCAATAAGTGCACACACACACACACACACACGCGGCGTGCGATCTATGCACATACAAACACACACATACACACATAAATGGGCATGGTTTTAATTGCTCCAACACGCCCTTGTGTGTGTTTGTGCGGATTATCAGGCGAGCGGGGAACCTACAAAAACGCAACGGCAGATTTTACAGGTTCAGTCGGTGTCCAAGCAAGCAAGCAACCAGCAGAATGCTGACCGAACTACTCTTGACGATCTGCACCGGAGCGTTCCTATATCTCTCCTACCGCTATGCCGTCGGTCGGAGTGTTGGCTTTCCGCCGGGTTAGTCCGACAATCCTCCAGGGAGCTAATTGTAAAAGATTTTTTGCACCCAGGTCCGCCGCGTATCCCCTTCTTTGGCAGCTATCTCTTCCTGCTGCTGCTCAACTACAAGTATCTGCACAAGGCGGCACTCACGCTGACGCGCTGGTACAAGTCGGACATTATTGGCCTGCACGTCGGCAAGCATCCCGTGGCCGTGGTGCACAGCGGTGAGGGTGTGCGCGAGGTGCTCAATAATCAGGTTTTCGATGGACGTCCCAACATCTTCCTTGCGGCCATGCGTGACCCCGGTGATGAAGTTCGCGGTAAGATTTCAATCAATCCTGTGCGAGTGCTGATAAGACTGAATCCACTTGAAAACAAATATAACGGGGTCAATTGCTTATTAATTGCGAAAAGATTCGCTTATCATTCCAATGGAAAAGGTTTATTGCGCGGCGCAAGTTGAACATGGAAAGTATAAATAGGAGTTTGAGTAGTTTATTTTTAAACCATGAAACCAGCGAAGAAGTGAACCTCCCTTATACCAAGGTGAATTTACTTGCATGGTGCTGTTCTTCGCTGTGGGCAGGACCAATGACTTATTCACCACACACACAGAGCCAAGCCGCTAGAAAGGGATATATTCATCTTGTTGCGTAGCACTATTAGGAGTACATAATATAATCAATATTCTTGCCCCTGCAGGCATATTCTTCCAGGAGGGTGCACTCTGGAAGGAGCAGCGTCGCTTTATACTCCGCTATCTGCGAGACTTTGGCTTTGGTCGCCGCTTTGACGAACTGGAGTTGGTCATCAAGGAGCAAATCACAGACATGCTGGACATGATACGCAACGGACCCAAGTACCCACACGAGCAGGTGCTGGTGAAGCCAGGCGGCTACAGAGTGCAACTGCCGCTGCTCTTCAATCCCTTCTCGGTGAACTGTCACTTCCACATTGTCTACAACGAGCGGCAGACGCGTGCGGAAATGGCCGGGCTGGTGCGCCTCGTACAGATGGGCATGCAGTTCCAGCGTCACGCCGATGACTATGGCCGACTGCTGAGCATTATGCCTTGGATACGACACGTGTGGCCCGAGTGGAGTGGCTACAATAAGCTCAACGAATCGAATCAGTTCATGCGCGAGTTCTTCGCGGAGATCGTCGATCGCCACATCGAGAGCTACGAGGAGGGTAGCGAGCGCAACTTCATGGATCTCTACATCAACGAAATGAAGTGCTGTCCGGGCTATGGCTTCAATCGCGAGCAATTCATCATGGGCCTGCTCGACTTTTCCATTCCAGCCTTCACCGCTGTCGGTGTGCAGTTGTCGCTGCTCATCCAATACCTGATGCTGTATCCCGCGGTGATGCAGCGCATACAGCGAGAGATTGATGAGGTTGTGGGTTGCGGCCGGCTGCCTACGCTGGAAGATCGCAAGAGCATGCACTACACGGAGGCGACCATACGCGAGGGCATGCGCATCGAGACACTGGTGCCGTCCGATGTGCCGCACAAGGCAATGGAGGATACCGAGCTGCTGGGCTATCACATACCGAAGGTAAGGGCAGCAGCTGTTACTCCAAATACTTCAATGCAATTTGCTTTGTCTCTCTTCTAGGACACCATTGTGGTGCCCAGTCTGTATGCCTACCACTCGGATGCTCGCGTGTGGTCCGATCCGGAGGCGTTTCGTCCCGAACGCTTTCTCGACGACCAGGGCGAACTCTGCCTCAAGCTGGACGTTTCCTTTCCCTTTGGCGCTGGCAAGCGACTCTGCGCAGGCGAGACTTTTGCACGCAACATGCTCTTCCTCATGACGTCTGCGATGTGCCAGAACTTTAACTTTGTGCTGGCGCCCGGCGATCAGTTGCCCGATTTGTCCAAGAACAATAATGGGCTAATCATCAATCCGCCCGATTTCTGGTTGCAGCTGGAGGATCACAGATGTGTGTAGAATATTATTTGATAAGAAAATGTTAGGTGTAGCAACATATGTTTGGTGTTGTGGTAAATATATGTGAATTAAGTCAATAGAAATCCAATTCCGAGTCGGAGGAGTGCTGCGATGGCGTTATGGGCACCGACATGCGCGAGCAGGTGCACGGCGCCTCCCATTGCACGAACTCGAAGTCTGAAAACTCGAAACTATCATCGTCATCGTCCTGGCTCTGTTCCGGAGGCTCATTTGATACTTCCTCCTCCTGCACATCCAAGCCCACGCTCTGTAGCAGCGTTGCCAGTTCGAGTGTACGCAGCTCCTGCTTGCTCATGATGGCCTCCACGAAGGACATGAGCTTAGAGATGGTTTGCTCGTGTTCCTCGAGCTTGTCGCGCAGCATTCGGTTCTCGGCACAGCAGCTGCAACGCTTCATCGCCGCGTACATGGCCAACTTTTTGTCATCCGACTCTGCGCATTTGCTACTGTGGGAGAGAGAGAGAAACGTTCAGCCGAAAGCAGCCCTGAGGCGTTGGCAGCTCCACTTACATGGTATTCATATTCGAATGCGTGTTGTGGGCATGTTCCGGGCAAGGATTCGACATATTTGAGACTATAAATTTACCCGCACAAATCAGCAGTTATCTCTGTTGATTGTTGTCTAGAATTAAACAACAAGTCGATCTGACGGCAGCCGACAGGCTGGCTAGAATGGAAATTGATTTCTGAACTCTATGGGAACATCATTTGATTACCCACGACAGACTTTCGTCTGCGTCAACAAAGCGTCGCTCACACACACACACCCCCCATAGGATCTAGATCTTCGACATACAAATTTTAATAACTTGAGTTTTGCTTGGCACATAAAGATTATCTTTGCCGCGAAACCCAATACCAAATGCAACTGATAATGAGTCAATGTTGCCCAGGTGTCAATCAATTAAATATCTGTAAAAAAAAAGCAAGCTAGCAGTAGCTTCGGCCAAAAATTGATAAGATTAATCAGAGTCGCACTGCCACGACAATGTAAGTACCCTAACTAAACTGCTAATAGGGATTACTGGAGATTAGGGAACAGAACAGTACCTGGAATATTTTGAATTTTTAGAAGCAATATGTCCGATCTTTAGTTACCGACTAAGCGTTTTAAGTGCAGGTAATAATTGAACACAATTTGAACTCTTCAAACGCGTAACAAGATCCACATAGTTGGCTTTCCAAGATACGATTTTGAGCTGTGCACTTGGAGTTCTTCTTGGAGAAATGTATTCCATTTTGCCAGTAATAATCCTCCCTTTCTGTTCTTTCTGTCCACAGAAACTGGAGGAGTATTTTAGGCTGGTTGATAATTCTCTTTTAAATTCAAGACAGGCAAGGGATACATTTTTTCACACCTTCTTGGACTCCGTTGTGGCTGTAAAAAATATATAAACAGCTTTAAATGTTCTGCTTTTAACAAGAACTTATCCATTGGCCTTAGTTTATTGTGTTTGTATTTTACAATTTGGTTAAAGCTGTCTGTTGAGACTTGAAACTTATGGCTAATTTGTAGTTATTGTTTATTTGTATTTATGCTACGTATGGGTATGGTATAAGCGCGAGAGTTCCACCAGTGTTCCACCGTTCGTACCCCAATTATTGCTTCGAATTCTCCTAAATAACAGCTTAAAGACTAACGGACACTACAATGATTGGCCACGGACCTCAATCCATGCCAGTTGAATTGGCTAATACTGGCAGCTGCCACCACAACTTTCCTTCGATTCAAGCGGAAGAAGGAGCAGCTCGCAAGTTCCTTCTGGGATCTGTCCTTGGTCAGTAGTAAGCCTGCTTAATGGCCGCACTGGTTATGAGGAAAGCGGAGCCTATCAGCATAAAGGTGATGATTTTGAGAGCGCTGGGTCTACCGGAAGAATCTGTGAAAGAGATAGGAAAATATTAGACAACAAATTCAAGTAAAAGTGCAAATAAGTCAGCACAAAGTTGCAAGTTTTTTGTATAAAGTTTGCCATAAATGTTCCTGATTTGACTCACTTTTCTTATTGGGCATGACGCGTATGCATTGCTTCTGCTCGGTGTTTGTTTGAAAACCAAATTTGCACTGGCAGACAGAGTTGCGGCATTCAACATTCTCGGGATCCTTTTCCACGTGACATTCGGTGGCCTTCGTGCAGGATTCACCCAGTTCTAAGGGAAAACATTAATTAGCCAGCGATAGGGAGTGGAGTAGGAGCCTTTACCTCGCTTTACTTCACAGATGCCATTCTTCTCGTGCAGCTCATCGGAACAGGCGCACTTGCCCTCGGTGCTGCAGCTGGCCAGCAGCGGCTTGCACTGCTCATCCTCAATGCATTCCTCCTCGAGTTCCTCAGCTAAGCAAGGAGTCAAGCAAAATGAGTCTCAGGTTAGCAGTTAGCCAATACAATACGCACCTTCCTTGAGGCACTGATCCTTAAAGTGTACGTAGCCCTTGCGGCACTGACAGGAGCGTGTCTGCTCCTCGGAGTCCTTGCTCGTGCAGGCCGTATTGTCCGGCATACACTCATCGTCCTCGGTGCATTCAGCATTAATGCCACGCACGCAGGTTTCATCCTTCTCGAAGTAATTGTCCGCGCAGACACACAGCCGATTGGAGCACACGGAATTATCGATGGGGCAGGCATCGTTGGAATCACATTCGCCCCCAAGGCCTTGCTTGTACTCGCACAGCTGCTTGATCGCATCGTACAGAGCGTACTCCTCGCAGGTGCAACGTCTGGGTATGTCCGGGTGGCAAAAGGAGGCACCAAACGGACTGCACTGACTGTTCGATGTGCAGGAGAGATGATACTGTATAGCTGTGGGCAGAGGGAAGGGGAGGTAGGACAAGAGCTTGTCTGGGATAAATCTCGCTGGCACTTACGCTTCCTGCAACTGCGCAGATCGTGCTCGTAAAAGTAATTCTTTTGGCATACACAGGACTTGGACAGCTCATCGAACTCGTACTCGCACTCGTCCGTGCTCTCTGCTATCTCGCCGAGCTCTGTGGGGGAACAGGAACAGTTTAATGTCAAATAATGGAGTGGAAATACTACGCTACACACCCGCAAAACATTTGCCATTTCGCGCGTAGTAGCCCTGCCGGCACAGGCACACCTTGCTGCTGCAGATGGAGTGGGGCAGACCCGTGCAGGTCTTGCCATTTTCCGTGCAGCTGCTGCCATCTGGAAGCACACTAAACATTAGCCAGGAGCCACAACAAGCAGGAGATTAACATACACTTCTTGTCCTCGCCATCCTCATCATCCCGGCTGGAGCCCAACGTGGAGTACGTCTTGATATCCTCATCATCGAAGCGGAAGAGTGCGGGCAAATGGCGGCGATAATTGTAGCTGGAGGTGCGACGACTGCGACTGCGACTCCGGCTGCTCGTGCTCGTGGAGGCGGTGGCTGTGGCCACATGCCTCACGCTGCGTCCCAGCTCCTTGAGATCGCGCAGCTCGTACTTCTCGATGCTCGTCTGCACGGCAATCTCGTGTGAGCGTGGCGAGCGTGGCGAGAGCAGTGCCTCCGTTTCGCCATTGGTCAGCGGGAAGGAGACCTGAGCGGCGGCATCGACGTGTGTGGTGGTGGCGGCGGGGGCGGCTACTGGTGGCGGTGGAGCGTGCACAAAGGCCTTGGTTAGCTGCCGCCGGAAAAACAGTGGGGTCTCGGCCGTGGGCTCCTCTGTTGGTGTCTCTGTGTTGGTTGCTTCGGTTGTGTCGTCGTCGTCGTTGAGGGTTGTGCTGGTGTCGTCGTCGTTGTTCGTGGTGCTGGTGTTGTCTGTAGTGCCCACTCCGGGGTCGGCTGTTGTGCCAATTTCATCCACATAGGTGCATATTAGACCCACGCACTCGGCAGCGGCGCCCAGTGCATCACAGTCCTCATTAACGACGCAGGCATCGTTTTCTTCTAAGGTGAAAGGTGAAAGGTGAAAGGTGAAAGGTCATAGAACACTTCCCCAACTTGCCAACTTACCCATTGATTTGCGACGACATATGTTTCCATATCTATTATAATAGCCATTTGCACAGCCGCAAACGTTTTGCTGACAGCTAACCGATGCGCGATCGTAGCCAAAATAGCAATCCAAGTCCTGCCGAAAAACAGCCAAAGAAAAGTGGCAAGGACATGGCAGAAGCATGTGGCGTGATTTTCAGACTGTATCACTCACCGTATCACAGGACTCGCCGAGTACATTCAGTGGCCTACACTTGCCACGCACATAGTTATGGCCATCGGCGCAATCGCAGACCCCGGCTTTACAGTTGGCTCCCGTTGGCATAAGATTGCATTGAACGGTCTCGTCGCATGTGTCACCAATGTGTGACGTCGTCAGGCATCGCGTGAAGTCCGCCGACAGCACCGCATCAAAGTTGGGGCATTCACACTGGCCGTTGCCCAAATCGCAGCTGGAGCCGTCAGCTGTGCAGTCCGCCTCGCTTTCACATGGCCAAAAAACGGCCGAGGCGCCACCGCCGCCTGCAAAAACGAATCAATCATGAGTGGGGGTTTATACGTAAATACGCTTTTAATCATCGTAACCCCAACAAAAACTTTGCCCTATCGACGGCCTACTTTACACCCGTCTTAATTATTCATCCTTTGGCTTCGCGGTTCCCACAATCAATTGCTAATTGATTGAGCCGCAGACTCGTCAATCTTTTGAGCGCCTGCCACGCCCACTTATCTAGCTGTTTGTGGCTGATTATGAGCCACATAAAAGCCGCAACTTGGCAACTTCCTACCCGCACGCAACGCGGCTACAAATTTATTACGTATACGCCAACGACTTCCGGACCGCATAGAAAAATTTCCATGCAAAACATTGTCAAGCGCAGGATGAGAGCTGGAACTTGGCCCGTCGCCTTGCCACTTTATTTTCCATTTTCCGTGGCCGGCAAAACAATTTCTCAAAGGACCGAGAAGTGACTCGACCTTGAGGCCCTCTGGCCCATGGCAAGACCTTTCGTGAGACAGGCTCTGTGTGTGAGAGGGCAAAGTACGAGGCACTTGACCTTGATTGTGTTCGCATTAATTACTTTCAGAGTTCTTTAATGTTATGACTGGCCGTTTGCCGTTTGCCGTTTGTCGATATTTGTACAACAATTTTGGGGCCCCGTTTGCGGCCTCACACCCGAATTAATCGGTGCTTTAATTCCATTACCGGAAATTGCACGAAACATTTGTGTGGCAAGTACTTGGCCCGCTTGAGTCTCTCAGCCCGGTTTACCTTGTGGATGGAGCACAACACACAGGACGCCGAGCGCCAGGAACCACTTGAGATTTGACATTTTCTGCACTCTTTTTTTTGGGCCACTGATTTTCACGAACCGCTGGCAAAACTGGCCAAAAGGCAACTGAATATTTCTGCCTGGGGATTGGGCACTTCTGTGTGCCGAGTGTTCGATTCCGGTTAATCTTATCTGGGGCAGTGGTCATAAAAATACTTAAACATCAATGATTAACCCGGTGGCAATTGGGTGAGCTGAGCCCTGTGCCGTGCGGCGTTGGTTTTCCCAGATAATCCCCCGCACTTACATTCCCTTTGCCATTTGGAGTTTTTGCAAATCGGTTGCCAGGTTTACAGTAGTTATCCCCATAGCCGGTGCCTCTCAGCACCTGTCGCTGTATCAGTAGCGATATAGAAAAAACCTCAACCACTTATCAGCCTCTAACACCTGGCTGTGCACACCTGTTCCACCCGCCTTTAATGAGTGTTTTTTTTTGTGTTATTTAAAAGATTCAAACTGATAATGCTGAGGCGGCAAAAAGTTGACAGCGATTAAGCTTGTTTCAGTCGGAGGGAAAATTTGTTGCGAGCAGAGAAAAGAAAAAATAATGAAAGAATAAAGTTGAATTATCGCCTGGCATATAAACTATGAATCACCTTTCACTCACTCATTCATTCAGCTTTGATTGATACCCGTGGAAATGCCATGTTATTACAATTATTTTTATTTATAGACATTTTATTCGTCTAGAATTTAAAATGTGTGTAATTCAATGCCTTTCCATTGTTTTATTACAGCAACAGTTCTGTGCACTAAAAGGATAATGCTTAAACTGGAAAGTTATTAGTGCATTAAGTACCGGACTGAACTTCAATAGTTTTACTTAAAGCTTTATAGAATTATGAATAGTTCTCAAAATGTAGCCTTTAAGTTGTATTTAATTGCTAACCAGAATGGTGATAAGTGCATTATTTGACCACAATTGTACAAAGTGTACAAGAATCTTTTTAGAGGTATATTTTTCCAAGGGGATTTTGGGTTTTATTAAGCTAAAATCTCACAGTCAACAAACCGAGCATTTGCATTTGCATTTAAATACAAAAATTAACATTCAATAATTCCACTTGTAACAACATTAATGCCATTCGCATTCACCTCTAATTTAATGAAGTTCAACGAGTGACGATTGAGCATCAATTTTAAATGCAAACTCAAGCTCAACAGGTTCCAATAAGACACTTAAACTCATAACAAAAGACCAAGGAATTATTAGATGAATGCCATAAGCAATATTCTGTATCTAAGAGATTCAAAAAAAATATTATTCGTCATTATTCATCAGAGTCGTGAATCGAGACAGTGAAACTGCTGAGTTTTAGCTGAGTTTTCCAAATGTCCTGTCTGCCATTTGTTCGTTGAGCAATTGCTTCATTGTTAGTGAGCTGTGCCACAATTTAATTGGCATTCATTGAGATTCGTCATAGAAAAAACTGTGCATTTAATATCGATTTTTTGTGCATTGCAAAATGGACAAAATAAAACGAGAAAAAGTACGTGTCAATAAATAAGATTTCGATCATGCAGCACACCGATTTAGACTCTGATCCAAATAGACAAATTGATTTAAATAATTCCGATCCCATTAAGAGTAGTCCATTTGGCCGTTGAAATTTGCAAATTATTTACTTATTTTTTTGTGGTTTCTGGATAAGAGTAAACTTCAGCATTAACTTAGAATCAAAAATATCACATGGCTGACATAAAAACGATCAATCTACACGGTATAAACAAAGTCTTACCACAAGTCGTGGTACTTTTTTTGGCTGAAGCCTGCACTAGTTCACAGACTTATCTTTTATTTAAGTTCACTTGTTACAGCCATGACTGTCATAGACAACAGCAAAGATTCGATTGTTAATGGACAGCACTTTAGAGCACTTTCATAAAACAACTTAATCAAATGTAAGCAGGTAAAATAAGATTTTCAATGAATCAAAATCAACAAAGGGTTTAACTAAAGTAAACCTTCCCTTTCGAACCATTTTAAGCACCTTTTCAAGCAGCTATTAATAAACGTAATCAGGTTATCATTAAGGTAACAAAATTGTTTTTCTATATATAGTTAATAATGTGTAAATATGAGTCTAATTGAATTGCCCTTTCAACATGTATCAAGCCAAGCCATTAAATTGCTTTTGAAGGAAGCTGTCGGCCCGAAATATTCCCAAATTTATTTGTTACTTACAAGTAAACTTTTGCTTATAGATTAGAATAGTTTTACGTACTTAGAATAGTTGCATTAGGTAAAATTAAAACAGGGTTATTCTTAGAGGGAACACCTCCCCGTTGTGCTAGTGTCCAGTCCCCAAAAGCTGTCGTCAGTGGGTGGTCAGTGAAGGACATCGTTGTGGCTTTTGTAAATTACTAATCGTGTTGTATTTATAATTCAATACAAATTATGTGTTAAAAATAGCTCTTTACAACAACGTCGGCAAGTGTGACAAGTGACGGCCTTGAAAGCAATTTTATCGAATTATTCGTATGTGGACAGCAATCGGATGTCCTCGGAGCCAATTGATTGAAAATACTAAGCGTTGAAAGGGAATGAAATGGAACTCGAACGAGGGTAATATTATAATTATTCCTTCTCAAAGATCGCTTTTAAAGTGCATTCCGTAAAGTTCGCGGCGTAGTCCCATTTCTCTCTTAGCTTTTCCGACTTATTTCCTCTTTGCCGCGTTTCAATTTTCCCGTTGGCTGTTTTTATTGTCACTCTTCTGGCTGTTCCCATTTGTTGTTCTTTTTTTTCTGTTGTTTTCAGACACATAACGTAAAAGGACATTTTGTGGTAATAAAAATGCTTTGCCACGCACGCGATGAAATGAAAAGAGCAGCCGGCAGGTGCAAGAGTAGTGAAAGGCGTTGCTGCCCCTCAGAATATATATTACATATATTTTATATATATATTTTATATATTCATATAGATTTATCTAGCACAAGTGCAAGGACGCTCTTGAAAGCTCTACTCACATTTGGCTTAAAGCAGCTCCTGGACGGACCAGCCCCAGTGGGCCCCCTCTGGTAGTTAGCTGCTGTCTTCAGTTATCCAAACATCCAATTGTAGCTTATATATTTACATATATATTTTCGTAGCACTTTTCCGCTTTATTCGCTTATTGATTTTATTATTTTTAAACTTGCACTAAATTATTAATTTAGCCCGAATTAGCACAAAACTGTTGGGAGTGTCTTCTGGCATTCTCTCATTTGCTGATTTAAATAATTACAATTTTCCACAAATAGAGGGTTAGCATCTGGGATCAAATCGATCTTTAATCAACTAATGCATTTAACTAAATAGAAGTCAAAGGCAAATAAAACCAATAATAAAACGAAATTAGTGGATTTCGAGAACACATGCGATTGGACTTGTTAGTTGGATGATGAGCGAACGACCCCCATTCGATATGTAATAAATGACGAACGTTCTATTAATGTGTCTACAGACATATGTAAGTCACTGTGTATGTGTGTATCCCCGTGGTTATTATGCATATAATGGATTGAAATACGTTAAGCGTTGGCGCGCCGCATATGATGACCTCCGTGACCCGTCCGTCCTGTCCGTCCTGTCTGTCTGTCTGCCGGGAAACACGTTTTTATTCCACTTTTCCAACATAATTCACGGAGAGACGAACGACAGCCGACACACTCTGACACCCGACAATCGATACTCATTAAATTATTCCCAAACTAAAAAAAAAAGAAAAATAAACACAAAAGAGTGTAATTATGTAATGCCCCAAAAACAAAAACGGTATTTCAAAATTTTTAACTAACTTTTACAACTATTTCGATGGCAATGCAGGGCGTCCGTATTTCACGTTACTTTCTGTTGAGCTTTAATAACTGTTTTAGCTGATTAATGCGTGTGTTAATGTGCACTACATTTTCGTTCACTATTTGTTTGTTGGGTTTTTTGTTTTGTTTTTGGGAGAGTCGCAAATATCAGTGCATCATTTTTTTACGCGCACGCCGTTACACTGCTGGCCGACACACTCGATTCCTCGATTCCAACGATCCTTGCCGAGTAAGTTGCGAGCCGCGACTGTGGCGGCTTTCGGCTGTGACTGCTGCGGCCACTGTAAGCGGAGAGCAAGCGCCGGCCGAAGACGCCCACGAAGAGAGTGGAAAGCCAGAGTCAGAACACGTGAGTGAGAGAGAGAGAGAGGACACTGGACAGCAGTTGCTCCGACTCTCGCCACGCGGCGTCTTCGTTAGCTGCGATTGTAGGTAGGTTCCTCCCATGTAAATTGTGTAAAAGCAACAATTTTCCGCCCTTCAATGCGGTGCGGTGCTGTGCGGGTGTGCCCGTGTGTGTGCGTGTGCAGGTGAGTAGTAGTTATGACACAGAAACTACATATTAATGTACGTAAATACATACATATGTATGTACATATATGTATGTTCCTGCACTTTCACGTGGATATGGCTCATAAAGCTCTCCTGTCAGTCCAAAGAGGAAGCACAAATTGGACAGATAATAAAAGGAAGAAAGGAATTATGGCAAATTAACTAAGAAGAGGGATTCATGGAGAGGCTTCACTTCACAATTATTACAAAATTATTTTCTTTACAGTTCTGCCATGCCAAAGACACAATAAATAAATCCCAGTCAGACCCCAAGCCTGGAGGAGCCAACCACAGGCGCATTCACTTCGAAAATAAAGAACAAATTGGGTCAAGTGGCCGCATTGGAATTGAACCTACAACCATTTTTGAAGCACACTCTGTTTGCTCACCCACTCCCCACACCCCACACTTACCACAGTCGCAGGTAAGAAAGTTGACGGGCGGACAGCAGAGAAAAGAATGTAAAGGATTCGGAAAAAATGGTTTACCACAAAAAAGCCAAACACTACACAAAAAACTACAAAAAGAGGCGAAGAGAGAGGCAGAGAGGAGAGAGAGAGAGAGAGAGAGAGATGTAAGAGATGGATGGTGGCAAGCTTCAAAAACCCCACATTACAACGGTGGGTTACGTCGGCTCCACTGGCAGCACGACAGGCTAATGCTTTTGGTCAGCAAAAGTCAGGTGCACGAATACGAGTCGCGAGTCGTTGCCTGTGTATCTGGTGCGGAAGGAGGGAGTGGAGGGGCATGTGTACAATGTACAAAATTCAGGGGTTTTTTATTTGGGTTTTATTATGGCTTGAGTATCGGAGTAATTTGTTATATCAAAGTCATACTCAGACAGGTATGGGGTGTTCTGAATAACGCTTTCGATGCAGACAAATTGAATTTCTTTTAACTTGAAAGTTTTATTTACATTTACTGAGATTTAAAAAGACCGCTAAGAACTTTTAGTCAAGCAATTATTTTTGGTAAATGTAAAAATTGCTGATGGAACCCGGAACACAAAATCCTGTTCTACGTGCTGTTGGCTCTGAGGTTCGTTTTGTTACCCATGACTAGACGCGCGACAGATGGCAAACGAGGCCATCAAAGGACCTGTAATGACTTAAACAATGCACACCACAACTGGACCCGAGTGTGGAGTGGAGTCTAGTCCTTCCTGAGTACTTAAATAACGGCACATATGGCCACTACAAATTGGCTCTCTCTCTCTCTCTCTCTCTCTTTGTCTGAGCGACAACTCTTTTGCCAGCCATTTATAATTTATAAATGAATTAGCAGGGGAAGCTTATAATTTTATTAGCAGAAAGGTGTTCCTCAGAGGCAACCAAGTCTTTCCCTTAGCCTTGGCCCCTAGGCAAAATATAGACATAGAAGCACTCGAACACAACTATTTTGTTTGGTGTTAAATTTTTGTCATTTTCTGTCTTTGCGATGCGGCATGTGTGTACACAACATTTTGTGCTACGATAGGAGCGAGCATGGGAGCAGCGTGTGTGTGGAAATTTGTTGAATTTCCATGACCAAAGCTGGACTCCCATGCGACCGTCGTGCTATTTTTAGGTTATAACAAAGTGTTTTGCTGGTCAGGACACGCGACCAACAGGACAAGGGAATGGCGCCACACCAACAGCAACGGTTATAGTAATGGCAACACGGTAGTATTTTGGTTATGCAAATTCAAACAATGCATTGCCCCTCCCGAGAGAGTCGATGTCAGCAGCGCATATGCTGCCAGCCAAGAAGAAAAAATGCTACGTGGCAAGGAAACCCCCCAAAGCTCTGAGAACAGTGGCTGAAATGGGGGCGACATATGCGCTGTATAAATAAAAAATCAATCGAAAAGAAATGTAAATACGAGTATGTGAGGAAGTGTCTCCCAGTCCCAGTTTTAGCTCCTAGTCCCACTGCTGCTGCCATGTCCTAGTCCCTCGGCCCATATGCATGCCAAATGAGCCAACAAGAACATCGCTGAAACAACAACAGCAAACAGCAACAACAGCGACTAACATGTGGGCTTTATAAAAAATTCAAAATTTTAATCGAAACATAGTGCAAGCGAAGCGAAAAATAGAAAATAGAACAGAAATAAAACAGAATGGGCAAACGTGTTCGGGAGAATGAGCGATGCGAACTAGCAGATAAGGAAAAGTGCATAAAGGTAGCATATATAAATATACGTACATACATATATGTATACTCATATATGTGTGTACGACAAAGCGAAAGCCAATTGCCTGTCAGGACTCGGACTGCAATTTGACTGTGCTCGAAACCGCTATCCGGACTGCCAACCCGCTGCACCTGTCTTTTACACTGAGCATAAACTATTGGTAATTAAATATCGTTTACTGGATCAACAGTTACGGAATTCATTTATAGAATTTACAATCACAAGAGTGAGTGAGCTATTCCCCAAGCTAGCAATATTTACGTGCATATTTTTAGAGCACTTTGGGGACAAATCTAATAAATCTTTCTTTAAAAAAAACCATGCACTGCGGAAACCTTTGTTGAATCACCAGAGTTTGATCATCAGAACCAAAAAAGTACTCAGCTTCATTAAGAATCGTGGTAATTCTTTCAAAATATCATAAGGGAGAACACAAAAGTATCTACAAACAGCTCAAATATTACAAGATCCATGAGTTTTAAAAACTGATTTTAAATCTTGTATAGGTATATTCTCATAACTAACTCTCGTAATTTTCTCACAGTGTTTCCCTGCCTTCTTTAATGACCGCACAAAGTGCACAGCACACGGGTTGATGGCACAAATCGTAATGTGAAAACCGTTTTCCGTTACCCGCTTTCCGTTTCTCTACGTGCGGTGCGGTGCACTGTTTACGGTTCGTTTTTGTTTTGTTTTGTTTTGTTTTACTTTCTGTTGATGGCTTTCTCTTCTTCGTTATTGATAGGCAATAATTTGAGTTTAGCAATCTGCAGTGCAGTGCAATTCCATGTCCGGTCGGAAATTAGCTAAGTGTAGGACTAGGATATGTTTAGAAATTATGCATAAGTACAGGTATGCATTTTCAGGTAAATTCATTCTTTTGCAACAGTGGTGTCCACATTATGTGCGCATCTAAGACGTGCTTTAATTACAGTGGTGGCCAAAAATGTTGGATGTGTGGATGCTTCGAAGACTAACACAATTACTGAAGGAAATTAACTCTCTGTATTTACAATTATCTCTATTTAATTGAAATTCAACTCTGAAAATAGCGAATTAAAAACTGTCAAGAGTTCATGGAATAATTACTACTCTCTTTCAATATTCTACAACCACAAATATTATCTGATTTTGCTTGCGGTCTTCATTTTCTGCGCTCTCTCTTTAATCTGGAAATCCAAATTACGGCACTGAGAAAGCTCTCACAGCCGATCAATCCCGTGTGTGTTGTCAATATGAGCTTTTTGGGAGCAAAGCGACAAGGCACAAGAGACACGAAGAAGGAGAATGCAGGAGAAGAAGCTTGGAGTGCTGTAAGCTTGTAATTTTCGTCGCCGCTTGTTACTGCAATTTACAGTTCGTTTTGGTCTACAGTTTCTAGATATGTGCGTCGCCGTTCAAGCGCAGAGCTGGAGCTGACCGATAAATCGCCGGGAAGTCGTGCCAAATTGCAAAATAACTTTGGGCAAAGTTACATGTTTACATCTAGTCAGAGTGTTGGTGTCAGTGCCAGTGTCGATGGCAGCTCAAAATTAGTCTCTACCCCGCTCGACTCACCTGTGGATTGTTTTTGTCTTCACCCAACGTCGTTTCATTTGCTTTTTTTTGTGTGTTTATGTTAGAAAATAATTTGTAACATGGTCTGCAAGTCATGGACACTGCCGCATCGTGTATCGGGGCAGGTCGCTCCTGCGTCGCACAGTCTGTTGGGTTCGGTTCGGTTAACTTATGCCGTTTGCGCCTTTCTTTCCATCTGCCTGCATTCTGCCATGCGCAGCATGCTGGCCATGGTCATACTGCGCATGGTCAAGCCGCGACCCGAAGACGCACTGCTGATGGCACTGGAGCTGGACCGCAGCAATTCGACTGCTGCGGGGCAGTGTGGCGGCTCTGTATTTGGCCTGTCCGCAGGTGTGCAGGTCCCACAGACGGGCGACTTGTCATGGACACGCAACCAGGAGCTTACGTTTCCCGGCGTCTTCTATTACGGCTACGTCATCTCTATCCCGCTGGCTGGACACCTGTCGGACCGTTTAAGCAGCAAGCGGCTGTTCATCTTGTCGCTGGTGTTCGAGGCTTTGGCGTACTTCCTGCTGCCAACGATGGCGCATCACAGCTATGGCGCTGCAGTGGCCAGCTTGGTGGTCTCCGGCATGTGTGCGGTGAGGCGAGTCCAGTGGCTGTGCTTTGGGTATAAACTTTTGCTCTCTATCCACAGGGTTGCGGCAATCCGCCGCTGTATCAGCTGTTCGTCACCTGGGCCCATCCCACGGAGCGCACGTCGCTGCTCTCATTCGCATACATCGGGCTGCTCATGGGCTCCATTGTGGTCTATCCGGTGGCCAATTATCTCAGCGACTATGCCTGGGAGCTGTCCTTCTATGTGGTGGCAAGTGTGACGCTGGTCTTTGGCATAATCTGCCACTGGCTCATCTACGACACGCTGGATGAGCATCCGCGCATTTCGGATGCGGAGAAGGCGTACCTACAGCGAGAGCCGTTGTCCAAGAGTCAGGTTAGTCCAGTCCACGGGTTGTTTGAGATTTGATAATTGCATTTTTCACTGTTCAACAGTTGAGTGTGCCTTGGCGGCACCTGCTTACCTCGTTGCCTGTCTATGCCTTCATCCTGACTCACATTTTCCACAACTGCACGTTCCTCGTGCTCTCCGTCGTGATGCCGCGCTTCATGCGTGAGGCCATGCAGTTCAATCTCCACGAAGTGGGCCTGCTATCGGCAGCGCCATATCTGGGTGGGATGTTCTCCAAGCTGATTTGCGTCTTCAGCTGCGGCTACGTGGAGCGGCGCGTGGGTCTCAAGCAGAGTTGGATGCGTCGACTGCTGTATGTTGCCTGTAAGTTTAATGTTTAATGATTTATGCATACAAAATTCATATTTTGCCAACCTTTCAGGCAGCATTTTAACAATGATTTTTATTGGCATTATTATTTGCGCTGGCTGCGAGCAAAAGACACTTGTTATGCTGATGTACGCATTGCTTTATGCCACCACGGACATGGGTTTCAGTGCCGGCTACTGGCCCACGCTCTTGTACTTCGCGCCTTCATTTGCCGGTCTCCTATCGGGAGTGGCCAATTGTTTGGCTCATCTGTCGGGATTCCTGGCGCCACATTTGGTGGCCACTCTGGTGCACACTGCAAGTTTATTTTGGTTTAATTTGGAGCTGACCTTTTAAACATTTTTCTTTGTTGTTTGCAGGGCACCAAGGCCGAATGGAACATTGTGCTGCTGACACTGATTATTTTCAATGGCATGGCCATGATTGTGTTTGGGCTGTTCAGCAGCACGAGGCTGCAGCCTTGGGATCCACGCAGACGCATGGAGTCTCTAAGTGCAACTCCAGCCAACTTGCATTAGTTAATAAGAATTTTGCCTATCTTATTTTATTGTTGTTTTTCTCTTTTAAAGCCCGCCAATTGTCCTATCGAATAAAGTAGTTTTTAGTGTTTTATAATGTGCGATTAAATATCGTTGAGATATCTGGCGTCGGTACACAACACTCTTTTGTAAGCAATTCGGCAAATTCCCCCTGCGAAAAGCATAAACACATGTTTAATTTACTTTATAACTTCATGGTGGGACGTCCTCGCACCGTTAACGGTGCAACAATACAACGGTGTACAATATCTGGGCAACAAGTTTGGGCATTATTCCACACGCACCAAGCATATGGTTCAGTTCCAGATCAATCAAATTTTGTATAAGGCCGATATGGGCTGCGCCGAGGAAGGTGAAACCAGAAAGTGAAATTTATCAAAAATTGTCTAGCAATACGCAGAACATTCAGTTATAACAGAGCTTTGGCTTTGTGAGTTTATGTTTCAAATAAAGTGTAATAATCATTAACATCAGCCAAATAAAGTGCATATCAAGTTCTTGAAGCTGTCAATGTCAGCCAAAGCAGCTCGTATCAGCTCAACAATTAATGAGAAATGTTTTGCACGTCTTTCCTTCTTGTATTTTCTTAGGAATTATCTCTGTCCCAACTGCGTTTAGTTGGATGAACCCGCCGGTCGCAACTATTTTTAGAGATCGGCGATAATTGCCAGAGTATAAAAACTTGCTGGCACGATCGTGAAATTGCAGTTCCATTTGCAACATTTCAAGATGCAGTACCGTGTGTTTATAGCCCTGGCCCTACTGGTAAGTACTTTTACTATGAAAAATAAACTAGTTTCAGCAAAATAATTGATCCGCAGAGCCTGGCCAAAGCCGCACCCAGTGATCCAGCACCAACTGTGGCTGTTGGCGTCCCATTGCCGGAATCGGACAAGAATCATTTGTGCAAATTTCTAAAATCTTTCGAGGAAACTCGAATGGAACTCTTTGGTGTTATCATGGGCATCAACATGGTCTTTATATCCCAGGCTGAACAAAATTTCCCAAACGGATTTGCTGATTATTTAAATAATCTCCGTCGCGAAAAGAACACATCGCTAAGCTTGTGGCAAAGGAAGTTCGGCGTCGACAGGGAACAGATGAAGTTGATTCTGCAGAACGATACTGTGGCTCAGCAGTGGGCAAAGGATCATGTGTTCGAGTCGCACTACCTTGAGATGCATTTGTCCTTGTTCACTGCAATTCATGCCATCAGCCAGCGTACAGTCGACGCGGCAAACCGAATGAAGAGCAGCCTGAGCGAGGCAACTGTGGCCAGCGAGCACGAATTCTTCGATAAATTTAATCAATATTCAAATTCGGGGCACTTTGGGCTCAACGCCCTAACCGATTTAATGAGCACTCTTGAATCAAAATTCAAAAATAAATACCAGTGCTCCAAGGCAGTGGATTAATTGATTAATCTCAACAAATAATAAAAAAAAGGTTTTAACATTATTTTCCGTTATTGAATTTAAGAGGTGCGAGTGGGTTAACTTTAATTTTTTCCTCAGCATATATACGGTATATTCTGAAAAAAATAAAGTATAATCGGCCGAATGGAACATTGTGCTGCTGACACTGATTACTTTCAATGGCATGGCCAGCAGCACGAGGCTGCAGTCTTGGGATCCACGCAGACGCATGGAGTCTCTAAGTGCAACTCCAGCCAACTTGCATTAGTTAATAAGAATTTTGCCTATTTTATTTTATTGTCCTATCGAATAAAGTAGTTTTTATTGTTTTATAATGTGCGATTAAATATCGTTGAGATATCTGGCGCCAGTACACAGCACTCTTTTGTAAGCAATTCGGCAATTCCCCCTGCGAAAAGCATAAACACGTGTTTAATTATACGCGGTACTCGAAGAGTAATTAGGGTATATTGTATTTGTGGGGAATAACGGTTGTATGTAACGCACAGAAGGAAACGTTTCCGACCCCATAAAGTATATATATTCTTGATCAGCATCAATAGCCGTCTGTCCGTCTTGTTTGTCGGCTCGTTCTCAGAGACTATAAGAGCTAGAGCCACCAAATTTTGGCTCCGGACTGCTGTATGCTCACACTGAAACCAGTGTATTTCAAAAATGAGCCACGCCCCCTCCGCCCCAGCAAAAGGGCGAAAACCCCCCAAATCTACAGTTTTGAAGATACAAGAAAACTAAAAACGCCATTCCGTAGGAAATGGCCATATCTATCAGATTTTCCATTTTCAGTGAACCCACCCTGTCCAGCAGCTTTTGTTGTTCCTTTCACATTCTCTCATTCACACTCTGCTTCTGCTTCACTCGGCCCTTGCCTATGCCCTCCACCAAGACTCGGTTTTCAACGCTAGATGGCGCCACTTTCGAAAAATTTGCTGTGAAACCTATCGGTCATTATTGCACAGAATGTGCAGACCATTGGACCATCAAAGTTGCGCACAAGAAATTTTCATAGATGGCGCCACTTTCGAAAAATTTGCTGTGAAACCTATTGGTCCAAGAATGTACAAATTTTATTGCTGTTATAAATATCTCATAAATTGGAAAATATTAACTGATCCAATTTGTTTGATGCATTTTATTTAGTAGGCTTTTACTACGTGTCCTTTAATGTGAACGATATCTAGTGGTTGGCGATGTCTTCTACATCTAGATGTAGTCCTGAGTGCCGGGTATAAAAGTTGTGACGCGTAAAAAGCGTCTCACACGTCCCTTCTCGTTTTTGTTGTGTGCGGGCGCTGCCTTTGCCTCTGCCGCGAGTCTGCTTTAAAATTTGACAAAACACCGCTAAGGTGCAGATGTCATACTGAGTGCCGGGTATAAACGTTGTGAACCTTGTAAACCTTCTCGTTTATTTTTAGAACTTCATAGCGGGACGTCCGCGCACCGTTAACGTGACCAACTTGGTGGTAGTATACCCCGCTAACAATTGCTGCCGCTGCTTTCTTTGTGGTGAGACCTTCTCCGGCTTCCAGAGCAGTATCAAGCGGCATTACCAGCTGGTGCATCCGGAACTCGTTTTGCCACGCCCACCAGACAGCGGGATCCCGGCAGAGGTTATGGACCCACGGCACATACCGGATCGGATGGTGCGAGATCCTTTACCGGAGAATGGGGAGCACTTAATTCGAAGTCCAAGCAAATCGGATCTAAGTTTAGATGCGGCAATGGTAATAAGCTGCGCCATGGAAACGGGCGACGTGGCTGAGGACCAATCTAGTAGCCAGAAGCCGGAGGATCCAGATGTAGTTGATATAGTGGAGCTCTCAGACGATGAACTGATCGATGCCGATGAGATGAGCTTCTCACAGGCACTTAACCAGACATCGCCGGTGACTTCAGCGACCTCGTCAATGAGGAGCACACCTTCGGATGCAACGACTGCCTCCTCTTCAGCAATCGGAGCGTGCACGAACGCGTCTGTAGAAGACGCCTACTTTCTACAATATCTGGGCAACAAGTTTGGGCATTATTCCACACGCACCAAGCATATGGTTCAGTTCCAGATCAATCAAATTTTGTACAAGGCCGATATGGGCTGCGCCGAGGAAGGTGAAACCAGAAAGTGAAATTTATCAAAAAATTGTCTAGCAATACGCAGAACATTCAGTTATAACAGAGCTTTGGCTTTGTGACTTTATGTTTCAAATAAAGTGTAATAATCATTAACATCAGCCAAATAAAGTGCATATCAAGTTCTTGAAGCTGTCAATGTCAGCCACAGCAGCTCGTATCAGCTCAACAATTAATGAGAAATGTTTTGCACGTCTTTCCTTCTTGTATTTTCTTAGGAATTATCTCTGTCCCAACTGCGTTTAGTTGGATGAACCCGCCGGTCGCAACTATTTTTAGAGATCGGCGATAATTGCCAGAGTATAAAAACTTGCTGGCACGATCGTGAAATTGCAGTTCCATTTGCAACATTTCAAGATGCAGTGCCGTGTGTTTATAGCCCTGGCCCTACTGGTAAGTACTTTAACTATGAAAAATAAACTAGTTTCAGCAAAATAATTGATCTGCAGAGCCTGGCCAAAGCCGCACCCAGTGATCCAGCACCAACTGTGGCTGTTGGCGTCCCATTGCCGGAATCGGACAAGAATCATTTGTGCAAATTTCTAAAATCTTTCGAGGAAACTCGAATGGAACTCTTTGGTGTTATCATGGGCATCAACATGGTCTTTATATCCCAGGCTGAACAAAATTTCCCAAACGAATTTGCTGATTATTTAAATAATCGTATCCGCGAAAAGAACACATCGCTAAGCTTGTGGCAAAGGAAGTTCGGCGTCGACAGGGAACAGATGAAGTTGATTCTGCAGAACGATACTGTGGCTCAGCAGTGGGCAAAGGATCATGTGTTCGAGTCGCACTACCTTGAGATGCATTTGTCCTTGTTCACTGCAATTCATGCCATCAGCCAGCGTACAGTCGACGCGGCAAACCGAATGAAGAGCAGCCTGAGCGAGGCAACTGTGGCCAGCGAGCACGAATTCTTCGATAAATTTAATCAATATTCAAATTCGGGGCACTTTGGGCTCAACGCCCTAACCGATTTAGTGAGCACTCTTGAATCAAAGTTCAAAAATAAAATCCAGTGCTCCAAGGAAGTGGATTAATTGATTAATCTCAATAAATAATAAAATAAAAAAATGTTATCATTATTTTGCGTTCTTGAATTTAAGAAGTGGGTTAACTTCCATTTTTTTCTCAGCATATATACGGTTTATTCTGCAAGAATAAAGAAAACTTCGGTATATTTCTGAGGGACGAGCGGTATATTTTGTCAATAAATCCGCGGCCACACTGATCCCTAACTTGCTTTACAAAGTTTGTGAGTTGTTTTAATTTTTCGAATTTTGTTTGCTAACAAACGCTCATGAGCCTGTGTTGTGTTCCCGCACAGCACTCACTGGAATACGTTTCGCAAAAGATTATCAAAATTTTTGTGTGAATTCTATCTCGATGCTACAGTAAATTGAGCTTTCCCCTTTACAACGCAAAATTCTCAGTGAAACATCAACACAAGCAACAAGGCGCCGTGACACCTAAATTTTTTGTTTGGCAATCAAGTGCTCCTCCAGCATATACAAGTGAGTACACCATCACTGGCCATCAGCCGGAGCAGTTCACTGACAAAGCATAGGCCACTAGTTTCTTCTGGACATAGCTGTTTTTTTTTTTTTTGTGCTGAGGGGGGAAAGAAAGGCGGAAATAAGAATACATACGCTCGCTTCCTGATTCAATTCGTACAGCACTTCCGTGACACTGGGCTGTCGTTTACTCTAAACTGCTTCTTGACAAATCAATAAAAACGGTCAGAGTCGTCAACATCTCCTACTAAGCTATGTCGAGAGGGGGGAAGGCGACTCTAGGCAGATAGCCTACAGTGTGTACGTGCAAGTGCGTGTAAAGCAGCTTTTTTAATTTCGGCGCAATTACAATAACCGAAGTATATTAATTCTTCACTCGAATATTTAAGCGCTTGCTACCTTGAGCGCTTCGTGTTGTTTTATTAACATTGTTGTTGTTGGCCCGGGTTGAGGGAGGTTCATTCAATAACATTCACAAGCACACAATACATGCATACATACATATATGGATATCACTGTATATTAAAGTGCTTGTATCCATGTATATGTATGCGTGACGGTTTACCACCTTTGTGTTTTATGCACGAAATTTTCTGTGCAAATACATTTTAATTTTCGCAATTTTATTTAAAAAATGCCGAGCCACAACAAGCTGAATTCTACAATCGCGAGAGTGTTGAGTGTGTGTGAGTGAGCGAGCACGTACACAACGATGGCCTGGTCAGTGTTGACCTGCTGAAATTCTAGAAATAGCTAGGAACCAGAAACGACCGGAACCGAACAAGAAAATCAATGTTAACTTTTCTCCATACTGTTCAAAGTGGCCATACTGAAGTGTCCTAAGAAATCAAACAAAGGAATGGGAGTGTATAATTTAATTAATATTACCAAATAGCTGCCAGTTAGTTAACCTAATCTATATTTGGCGGTAAAATAGCTGAATGGCCTCACCTCCGACTCTCTCGCACACATTGGCACGTACACGAACACGCACACGTACACACGGGCAGCCAAACAAACACAATTGGCGCCCCGAACCGAATATTCGTAGTCGATGACGATCGCCGCTAACTTATTGCGTTTTTTCATGAGGTTCATACTTTGAATTGGCACAAACCAAACCAACTGATAACAATAACGGTACTTATATACTGTCGTAAAATGTTTAATACGTTTGCCGACTGGGATGTGATAATGCACTGTTATCCTTATCTGTGTCGTTCTCTTTCTCTCTCTCTCTCTTGTGCTCTTGTACTTTGAGCTGATTCATTTTGTTTTCGAACATTTTTCAAACAAACAAAAAAAATGCGCAAAAAGAAAAGAGAAAATATAATCAAATACATGCACACATACGGTTTTTGTGGTATGTGTAAAAATATCTTATTGGATGGGTTGGGGTTTGTTTATGCCCTGCCAAGGGGGACCGGTTCTAGAAAAGACAACAACTGGTCGAGCTGCTTGCCGGTAGAATATGTACATAAATACCCATAGAATAAAAGCCAAACCAGATCAATAGATTTATATAAAACGCATTAAATTATCTTAATTTGTTCAATAATTAGTAAGTCTCTCCGCTCACAGGAATCATCATGTTGTTAAAAGTACCATCTGTGGACTGGTCGGAGCAAATCATTTATGTGATAGACGACGACGAGTCCCTATCGGACTTTGACGATGAACCAGATTTTTCCGAGTATATGTGGATGGAGAACGAGGAGGAGTTCGACAAGAACGTAAGCAGCAAACATCATATTTAAAGTTCGTTTTCTTCAAGCTTTCCTTATTTTATAGGAACTTCAAAGGCTAGAGGAGGAGGAAATTATGCAGGAATGTATCGAGGCCATGATGGAGGACGAGCTGGAAGAGCAGCTCAACGAGTGGGAGAAGGCAAAGTGAGTAGAGGCAACCATCCAGCCATTGATTATATGTTTTAATCTTTATGTTTTGTCGCCCTGCAGAACGGAGGAGCAGAATACGGCACTTTCCGCTCTGCCTAAAAGTCAGTGCGATGTGGAAAAGTCAGTTTTAAATCCCATGGCCGATGAATTTGTACCGCGTAGTCACATATTGGACTTGCCCGCCGCCTCGTAAGCCCAGCCAGCCAGCCCGACCACCACCAGACTCGCAACAAATCCCACACGCCCCATAACACGTGGACCTCACTCGGCAGGCGCTGCAGCAAGCGCACCAGTCGATTCGCAAAAATCCTAAGAAAAATCTGTAAATCCTTTGCAAGAAAAAACTCGACCTACCATTAGTCCATGCCATGATTCTGGTGCGGACTTGGCCATAAAGAAACAGATACGCATAGCCGTAAACAAATAAGATGGTTCTGACCAAAAGCTGGCGACCGAAATGCAAACGAATAACATTTCTGAAATCAATTATAAAACTACACAAAAGAAGCCACTGAAAAAAAAATACAAAACGTTGAAAGAAACAAAAACGAGAAAAAAAACCAACCAAACACAGCATGTAACCAACCGACTAACAACTATGCCGCGTACATCATTGTACATCGTAATTAGAGTTAAACACGAATTGTTTGCCCGGGAGTAGACGGAGCTGGAGATGGCGATGGAGCTGGTATTAACGTACAAAACGAAAACAAATGACTTTTTACACGCGACATATTGTGCGGTTGCAAATTTCTACCGAATGCCAAGCCAACTACGACTAACACTAAAACTAACTTAACTACGCCAATTTGCAGCTAACGGAAAGTGTAAGCAACAAGCAAGACTCGAAATTTGCAGCCCAAACTACCCGTCAAGCCGTTTAAATGAAATTTCATTGCAAAGACTTTAATTTTAGTTTACACTTTATTTGTAACTTACTACCAACCTTCCCTGCCCTACACTAAACTTTCTACACTTGCTTTAAGTTTGACCATTTTTGTGTGTTTAAAAAGTAACCCAACCTAAAACATTGTTAACTCGTTGTACATTCTACGCCTAAGTGAAATGCAAATGAATGAATTCGGACTCTCGCAGTACATCATACTTGTAAATTACGACTATAATTTAGTGACTAAAACGAATTGAGAATTGAGATACTAATGTTTAAAAGCCTCTTTATACAACTTACATGCATAGATATAAATAATTTACCTTAGTGTTAATCGAATGAAACGAAAAACGAAATGGCAACAGCTGCGGAACAACAATTTTGCAATTTTTTGCATGTCAAAATTATTGTTCAGCTCGTTTGTCGTCCCCTGCCCCACACAGAGCAAATGCACAAAAGTATGTAAAAAACAGATTGTTTTTAATGTCGTTAAATTCCGTTTTTGGCATGTAGAGAAAGATGAATTACTATTTTTTCAATCAGCTTAGACCTAGAGATTTAAGACAGCATCAAAAGATCTACTACATTACTTACGTTACGTGTGATATAAAGATACAAAAAAAAACAAACAAAAAAATATCAAAAATGATTTTAAAAATCTCAATAAAAAGAAGTATTATAGCATAAAATTATTAACATTTTGTTGAATGTTATGATGTTATTTGTGATGGTAGCACAATTCAGTATCGGGACGTCAAATAAGTTAGATATATTAATGTGTATTTGAATCCCGCGCCACCAACTTTTTTTACCCACAGCTGTTTCCGGCTGTGCTTCCAGACTAAAATATTTATCGAGGTAAAACTAGTAAAAACTAGTATATAAATACCGATACTAAATATTGTAGATATTTTATTATATGCCACGTATATAACATATTCATCACATTATTTTCCGCGGGTTAAGTTGATTTGTTCACCTTTTTAAATATATATGTACATATAGGGCATAATTATTTTTTTCCTTGGTATATTTTTAAATTGAGTAGGCAATTTTTCATTCTTTTATCGTATTTTTTCTTTCAAGCCATACTGTTTGTCTACAGTGTTGCCAACTTAGCTCTTTCCACTAGATCTAGCGTGTTTCAATAGGCAGATGGGGGATACTTTTTAAAGTTGCTGCTAGCGGGAACTATAGCTATTTTCAAAATAAAATTGGGTTTATTTCAAAGTCGAGGAAAATTATTTTATATATTTGTTCTTTTAATTTAATCGCTACAGCGAAATTGGTTGGTCGGAAATTAGTGGATATTTAGGTATATTTTTGAGGGTCTGTCGGTATATTTTATCGATAATTCCGCGGTCACACTGCTGCAAACATGGCGTTCGTTGATTTTTTGTTGTCGTTGTCTAAGAAAATGCAGCTAATTTTGCACTAATAGTGTGTGAAATGTGAAATAAACTCATTCAAGCGAAAGGCCCAAGGCATGCAAATAGAGCACCCGATACCCACTATCCTGCATTGTAGCAATCGTATACAGGAGAGCAACGTTGCCACAGGACCAGGACTGGGTCTGGGGATATGGCTGCGGCTGCTGCAGCACCTGCGAACACAAACGCACCTGCACCGTCGGGCGTTAGCGCTGTCGCCACGGGCATCGGGGCCATTAGTGGCGCTCAGTTTCGCGAAATACACAAAAATACGTGGTTGAAAAGACTGACGGCCGATGGGAAGAAGCTAACCGTTGGGCCCAAGGTAGGTCGCGGGGGCTCCGCTTCACCCCGAACCAATTAATTACTGAAATGACCTTGTCTTTTGCAGAAATCCGAGTGTAGCTGGGTGGTATTCTGCGTGCACGATGACACGGAGGCGCTACTCGAAGGATATGCAGAGCCGCGCCAGGCTGCCGGCCACATGCCCGAGTGGGCGGTATCGTTGCGGGAGACGCTGCACATATCGCACGCCCTGATCCCCAATTCGCACGAGTTTGAATTTGTTGTAACGCTTAGCAATGAAGTGTTGCGCTTTCATGCCGTGTCATGGTAAGCTGCCCCTGCCACACGCAAAATATTTAATTGCTATTGCCCAAACACACAATTCACTTTCGGTTTCGTTGTTTCGTTTCACAGGGAGATTATGCAAGAATGGGTGGAAACGCTGCGTTCGAAGCTACGCGAAATGAAAATTCTATCGCCGCGTGAAAACCTCTACACAAAGTTACCTGAAGTGCGCGCCCCCTTGCTGCCCACACGGGATCCAACATCACCGCTGCCGCCGCCACCGCCAGTGCCGGCGGCCCTTGTGCCGGGCGTGGAGCGTGTGGTGGCTGCACACCAACCGCAGCAGCAGCCACAACATCTTCTGCCAGCGAGTGAACCGGCAGCCTCAAGTCCTGCCACCACTGTGGCTCCAACTGCGGCAGCTGCAGTGCCACCAGCCACAGCCATGTCCAACACATTGACCCAACATCTGCTCAACATGCTCTCCGATCCGATAAGCACCTACAGCGAGCAAATAAGCGAGACGGCGACGACAGTGCCCGATCGGCAGGAGCAGGAGGAAGCCACGGAGGAGTCCCCCCAGCAATTGAACTGCAGCAGTGATGCGGACGTGAACCTGTCGGATGATGAATTTTTGTCCCCGTTACTGCGCAGGGCCTGCATCCTCACGGACAATGGCGTGCGGGTCGATGTTGTGGCAGCCACAGCACAGCGCGCCTCAGCGGGTAAGCAAAATTCTTCGACTTTAATGGAAAATTGTTTAATAATAAAAATATATTTTCATCTTGCAGATCAAATCTTAAATCTGGAACATATGCTGCAATGTGAACGACTAATACCCAGGTAGTAAGATCAGGAGCAGCCCCTTTTTATAGTACCTCCGACATCTGCTGACAGCTCTGCTGCAGGAACTGCAGAACCGCCTCCTTGGTGCTGTCGTTGCCCGTGTAATTCATGACAAAGTGCTTGCGCAGCACCTCCAAATAGCGCAAGCTGGTCAGCGCCAGCTCCTTCTCCTGCGCAGCCAGTTTTCGTTCTATAACCTTGCCATAATGTTCCCTGGCACCGGCCAACAACTTGTCGTAGTCCGTGCAAACCTGCTGCACCACGAGGCTGCGCTGTTGGTGTTTGTAATCAACGATGCGACCACGCAATAGCGCATCGAACAACGTGTCTAACTGCTCCACTTGTTCGACAGCCTTCTCGTCAGGACACAACGGACTGAAGAGTGTTTTAAAGAATTGACTCTTTACTTTGGCATCTGCTTTGGTGGACAGCAGTTTGAGCGCTGTGGTAGCGGAGAAGGCGAGTACTTGCATGTCTCCTTCCTCAGCCAGCGTCTCCTTGTGCATTTTCTTAGAGTTTTTCCTCGACTGCAGCAGTTTTTTCTCCATCAATTGCAGCTCCTTCAGCTCGCTGCTTAAGGCTGCGTTTTGCTGCAACATTTGCTGGTTGCACGCCTCTATGTCCACATCCCCTAGGCTAATCGAAGTGGCGCTCACCCTTTTTCTGGCCAAAGTCTCGGAATTGTCATTATGGGACTTTGGCCTGTGCTCGCAGCGCTCTTTCAGTGCGCGAAAATTCATTTGATAGCTTCTGGGATCCGTAAAGGGATAGCCAATGGTGCTCTTCCTCTTCAGCTGCGAGTGCAGCTGCAGCATCAGCCAATTCCGCTCGAATCTTTCCTCGGACGAGGCCTGATGGAAGATGTTAAGCCAGCGGTTGCAGATGGGTATGATGTGATCCTTGCCCTGCAATTTAACAATCATCTTGCCAACTTCAACCACTTTCTCCACGAACAGCTCGTCCAGCCTTTCCGCAGAGATCGCCATGTCGTTCGATTTGTGTTTAAAATATATTACATCGAGTTTACTTGACGTTTGACTAAAAGTTTTCCTTTCCAGGCCCCAAACATCACGTTCCATGTCCGCTGGAGCTGCTGATAAATCGAAAAGAAAGCCACGGAAGCCACTCGTCGTGTCTCAAGCGACCAGCAACAGCGTTCCAGGCAGCGATGAACCTCAGGACAACATCACAATTATTCAAGTCTCGAATCCAAGTAATGGCCAGGAACAACCGCCCGAATTGCCGCCCAAAAACAACACAATAATAGCTGAAATATTCCGCTTTCCTGACGTTGTTGGCGCTGCCAAAACGAAGGGGAATCAGAAACAGAAGCAACAGCAGCAGCAACGTCCACAGCCGCTGCAGCAGCAAACTCAACCACAACCGCAACACGAATATAAAAGCAACGTACAAATCATTCCGTCCAATGCCAGTACCATTCAAGTGCTGGGCCAACAGCCCAGCAGCAGCAGCAGTAATGCCTACACGACTCCAGTAAAACAGAATGCTTCCAATGCCCCAAACCCACAGGCGGCGACTGCCAATGCCAACACCACCAAGGTAAAGGTGATGAGCGATGGTGAGGCCACCACGGTGGCGGTGTACGGCACTTGCTATCCATCTCCAACTACAATAGCAGCGCCAGCGCCAAGTGGGAGTACCGCCAGTGTCCCCGCCAAGCCCCAGACGACGCCAAAGCTCAGCAAGAAGATAATACTCAGCGCCAACACCTCGGGCATCACGAACATCAGCGTCAACAGTGAACAGAGCAGCGACTCGATCATCAGCGGCAATGTACACTACGAGAAGGTGTTCCTCTCCTCCAGCATACCCATCAGCAGCGGCAGCAGCAGTAGTCCAACGAGGACACAGGACACAGAGCGTGCAGCGAACAGCTCAAACGTGCAAACGCAAACTCCAAGTCAGCCCACGCTTACCAATGGCAGTCCAGCACTGCCGCGTCGGCGCATTGCTTCGCCTGCGGCCCAGCCCGCACCGAGCACTGGCCGTGCCATGCCACAGCTGACGCGTGGCCTGACCGAGCTGGTCATTAGTTCGCGGCCCAGTCGTCGCGACTTTCATTACCTAAAAATGCTCAACACGCCGCTCAGAAGCAAGCCGTCAGCGAAAACAACGAGCGCGGCCAACAACAACATTGAGCAGCAGGCAACGCCCAGCTCCAGCGGTAGTGCAGCTCCGCCTGCACATCGTAACAATGCCGCTGCCATAGCTGCCGACAGTCAAGAGCTGCGCAGGCGCAGCTCATCCACATCAGATGCCCAGGCGCCGCTGCAGCGTAATGCAGGGCCAGCAGGTGCCCAGCCGAACGCGCAACGAAACGAACGAAATGCCAACAACAATGAGCAATTTACACCAGGGCGTGGCGGTTTTCGCATGCAACCGCCGCCTCAGGGTGCTGCCTCGGCTAGCACGAAGCCGAATAGCGCGGGTAATCAGCAGCAATCGCCCAACAAGCGGCTAACGCTGCGCGAACAGCAGGTGATGCAGCTGCGCCGCGAGATTATGCATCCAGGTGGAGTGCGTCTGAATCTGAGGCGCAAGGATTGCGTGGGCTCCATTGCCTGGGTGGAAGCTTTCGGGGGTGTATGGTGAGTGGATAACGTTTATTTTGGAAACCTAAATTATATGCCATTGCTTGCAGGATTGCGGGTTGGAAGCAAAAAGAGCATCCGGTGCTATACAATGCTCTGCACATCGGCGATCAGCTGTTGTCCATCGCAGGCGTAAGCATCAGCAGCGCCACAGAGGCCAATAAGATCATTAGGAACACCAATACGCTATTTGTGAGTGTGACTTTTCCTCTCGTGGTTTGTTGTATTTTTTCTAAGCTTCATTTGTCAGGTCGAAGTGCTGCTGCGTCGCATTCCCTTTGGTCGTGCGTATGCCATACGCCGCGATCGCGAGGGTCAGTGCCTGGGACTCATACGTGATGGCAACACCTCAACGATTGTGGATGTGGTGCCCAACAGCTTGGCCGCGCGTCACGGACTGCCGCCCAAGGTAAGGTCTAACCTTTGGCTATGGTTTGGGCAGGCCTTAATTTCTTCTCTCTTGCAGACCCAATCGTGTGATGGCAATGCGCTGACCTTTTGGATGCTCACTGAGATCAATGGACGGCCGCTGAATTTGTTCTTCAAAGATCTGGAGATACGCGACCGCCTGAATTCGGTGGGACGCGACATATCCATATTGGTGCAGCCTTCGGATTTGATAACCAAGTTGAAGAAGCAGCTGAAGTCGCTGCGTGGCTATAAGGATTATCTAGTGCAGTAGTTGCTGCCTCGTTGGTGCAGTCATTGCATATAAAAGTCCAAGAATGTGGGGCGATTTGATATATTTGTATAGCTGCTAAGAAGCAACTCGAAACTGTTATATGCTGTTAGACTTGAATCACTTTTATTGTATATTGTATAGCTCTGGGCCAGTAATCATTCCAACACCTATACCCAAACCATTCCAATTGGAAGCTGAACGCGTTACCACTATATAGTCAACCTCGTATATGTAGAAACATTTTGATATGAAAAAGGACTACTTAAAGGACTAAACTTAGTACAGAACGAAAGGAAAACCTATATATATTTTTGCAAATTTTTATATAAACTCGTATATACACCACATATATATATATATACATATATCATATACAAATTGATCATTTATAGTTATATATAGACTATATACTATATATATACATAGCTGACACTTTGAAAAGTTACCAAAATTTACAACTCGATTACGTTTTTTGGATGCAACATTATGAGAGAAATTTACACCCAGTATTTAAGCTAATCATTTTGATATACTTTTCGGTTCAGATTCCAGATATTATATACATACATATATATAGAATCTAGTACTAGAGAAAAACCTGTGCAACTTAGTATCCTTATGCAATATTAGAGTGCCTCTGATTTTGTTTGTTTTGAATTGATTGATTCGATTGTTTAATGTTTTCTTTCATGCATAAAACATCTGCGTAACTTTTAAGATGTGATACAAAATGAGTACTCAAATTTTAGGCAATTTTTAAACGGTACATGTATTTGTTGTAAATGCTTTTTGATTTATTTTATATTATATTATATATTATATCATTATTATTATTATGTACACATACGTTTCCAGTGGAGTGGGTAACATATCATTAAAGCAATTCCACATTCACTCACAGACCGTGCCACGTTTTGCCTTTGTGGTGGTCTGCTTCCAGATGCGGAAATTGTAGACATCCGTGTCCAGCGTGGAGTATATAAAGATGGGCATGGAGTTGGACATGACCCAAATGGTGCCCTCATCATCAATCTGAAATGAATAAACAAATGAAACTTAATGGAACAAGGACAACAAAGCTCTTCCCACCGTCAAATCGCTGGGATAAATCATATCGCTGGCATTCGAGTCAACCGTTCCATGGTTCTCCACCGTGAAGGGTTTGCTGCTCTTCCAGCAACCCACGCCATTCCGCTGTATTTCTGCAAAGAAAATCACACCCGTGCGCGGATCGTAGTCGTGCATTGTCGACTGAGTGGATGGACCGCGGCTGCCTAGCACACGGAAATCATTGCCATGATCGGAGCGTGCAGCATTCGACTCCTGCTGCAGCACACGACTGGAGACCACAAACTCATTTGTGCTGGCCATCGGATGGAAGTAGACATCGCGACTGCCGTCCGGCTGCCGCTGACCCAAAGTTGTCGAGAAGATGCCATCGTCCCAGCGGAACACCTGACCGCCAATATCCAAATCGCCAGCCAGCGGATCAAAGTTAAAGTAGTTGTGCTCAAAGGCCCAAATGCGATCATCCGACAGATGGTACACGTACAGGCGGCGGTACACCAGATCCGGAATGTAGGCAAAAGCATCGCCACACTTGTTGGGCTCCACATCGATGGTGAGACTGGCCAGGCCGCGACCAGTCTCCACAAGGCTCTCGGGTATCTCGAAGCGTTTGAGCACACGATCAGTGTTGAGGTCAACAATCCAGATGCTGGGTCGCCGTATCTGCTGGCGGTTATCTGATGAGAATAATTTTTGTTTCGTTTACAAGTTTTGCATTTAACACAAAACAAATTACATGTCGTGTCAAGTAACTGTCAACCCTGAAGATGGGATCATTTATCTAGCCAAATTGATCTTAATAAGATTCCCTCTTGACTCTTTCCCAGGGCTGCATAGCAGTTAAGGGCAAGCAACCCTCTCTCTATCCATTCCCGATTCCAAATGGTTAACTAAATAAACTTCCCTTAGGTAAAATATTACCCATAACAACTAATAATAGCAAACAATGCCTCATTAAACACCTTCTAACAGTCCCACCGCACTGGATATAAATAATTTCCAATAAATAATGCACCAACACCAAGGTAAGGTGACGACGCCCGCTTCTATAATTACTAATGTCAGGCAGGTATCAAACCTAACATATGGCTGTCTGCCTCATGCAATGCAAATTTCTACCAATAATTGAGCTTTTGGCATAGCACAAAAGCTGATTAAGTAATTGGAAACGAAAACGTACTTCAGGATGCGAACCATTGAGGCCTGGAACTTACTTGGGTACTCCAGCATGCCGGTGTCAATGAACCATAAACGCTGACAGGCATCCACGGTGGTCCGATAGACCGAGACCAGATTCTGCGAACTCTCATTAAACTGGTTCAGCGAGAAATTTGGATAGGCGTGCAGCTTGGGGCTTTGTTCTCTGCCATCGCGCGTCATGTCGATGTAGTTCAAGGTCGACGGGATGCCGACACGCCGCCTGGGCATCGTGACGAAGAGGCGTCCCCGGTAATGGGTTGCGCCCATTGGCACGTTGTTATAGGGAATGTACGGAGCATCGGCGTTATCAGTGTTGCTGCCAATGCGCGATCGAACGCCCTGGGGGCTGTCGCGGGAGGTCAAACTTTCACGTTTGCCACGCGAATACTTTCCTGGAAACACAACCGGAGCTGGAAAATGTAAAGTACACAAATTAATTTTTTTTGTTCCATTCGTTTTGGGTTATCTGAGCGCTACCTGAACTGAGTGGCCTGTCGGGCCTGCTGGTGCCCTGGTGGCCTTGATTGCCCGGAACAACGTTAAGGCCATCTCCGCGATTGTAAAAGTCCATCTGCTTCCATTTGAAGACCTCAATCATGCCATCGCCTTGCACAATCAAAAACAATTGCGGCAATCCGATTAGGCAGATGAGTAAGTGTGAAGATAGCATAATTCGTTTGTAGTCCGTGAAACCAACTAACCGTTAAGCTCCAGCATCCGCCTTGCTTGGCTGAGAACTGAGACTGAGATTCCATCCATTTCCCATATTTCGAATTACGTGCGCCCAGCTCAAAAGTTTAATATTTGATAAGAGAATGTATTTGATGTGTGCTCTGAGAGCCATGAAACCGGTTTTATATTTATTCTAACAGCTCTAGAAACTGCGAGAGCTAACCAGACTTTGGGAGAAATTCAATCCACTAGAAGTCAGATAACCACGGGGCGCAACATTTGATTTTAAATTCTGAGAGAGCCAAATCTGGTGAATCGATAACGCCGGCCCATTCGACTGCCATACTGCAACACTGGACAAAATACAGGGTGACCGTAATGGGAACGTAACCCTTGGGCACTAATCAAATAGTATACTATTGTATACTGAAAAGAAACAGTTTTAAACATGTGAAAAGACAAGTCATTCTTTATGTTCAAAAACCATTTCGAAATGGTGTGTGCCAATGACGGTTCACGAGGTTCACCTTTTTAAATCGAGAGGGGCTAAGCTCGTTATTTTCCACAGTATATTTCCGGTATATTTGGAAAATGGATAGGTATATTTCGGCACTAACCAAATAGTATAGTATATAGTAAATATATAGTATTTGGTTAGTGATTTCGGTAAGAGGGTAAATGGGCGGTCATACTGCACCATGCACAATAGGCAGAAGGGTATATTATATACTTTTGGGGATATTTTAACTACGAATATTAGTTCAATGAGTCCCATCCCAACTTACATTGAATTCCATCACCATTTACGTATTCTACTGTTGTCAAAATAATTTGTATGGGCCAGCAACATGCTGCGAAAAGTGAGCAGCACTGTTCCCCAATATTTGGCACTGAATAAGCTACATTTATTCCCATGGAGTAATGGATATCCTCGAACAGAGGAAATTGAATGCAAAAACAAATTATTCTGTGTTGGTGAGCCAGCTGATTATGGATACCGAGAATATATGCCGTACATTTTTACATAAAAACCATATGAGAAGGTTAAAAGAATGTCAGTCTAAAACAAAGTCATTGTTAATGTTAAAAAGCAGCTGGGAAAAAGTAATATTAATATTAATTATAGCAAATAGGGTACACAAGTGCCCTTACCATACTATTCTATCGGTTGGCCAGCAACACATTGTCAAATGACGTTACATTCCAATCCCACCTACGTAACATAATGCTATTTGTTTTGATTGACTCTTTTAGTTTTAACCTTATTTTGCAATCAATCCAATAAAGATTAGTCATGATAGGCAGCCAATCTTGTGGAGAATCGAATGAAAATTCGAGTAAAATTCAAGTTTTAAAGCTGAGAGGCCTACCCAACTGGTAATATTGAACAGAAAATCAAAGTCGAGGAAACTGATTTAAGAGTTACGGTATATTTACAGTATATTTTCAAAATTCAAGGGTATATTTCAGTATGTTTCCGAGAGTCTGTCGGCATATATTATCGACGATTCCGCGGTCACACTGCCTGGCAGAAAAATTGCAATTGCAGCAGCGAAACAAAACGAAAATCCCAAACAAATCCACTTGCAAACTAAATATAAAATAAAACTGCAACGCAGTCAAACTACTTGGTAAACGGATGGAACTGTAATAAAGACACGCAACAGAGTATTGGCAGGGAAAGGCGAACTTATTGTCGCGCGCGTTGTGGGGGAAAACGCGTTGCGTTCTTTTCCATTTTGTGTGTGTTACCTTACAGCACACACACGCACGAACGCGAACACACACACAACACACATCCGCGGCCACATACACACCAACGACCAGAGGCAAAGGCGACGAGTGAAAGTGGAAGTGCATCTATCTGTGATTTGATTTGTATAATAATGCGTCGCGCATACGCAAATTTCGGTTGCACCAAAGATTAACAAGTGATCCTTGGTACGGAGTGGGATTGGGGACTCGGACTCGAATTCGGTTTCCAAGTGTAACAACAAACGAAGTGAAATCGAATGGCCGAGCAAGTGGAAAATGCGTTGGCGTTGACGCACACCAAAGAAATGCTGCCCAAGTGTTCCGATTTGGAGGCGTCAGAGGAGGCGGCACTCAGCTCTGGCAGCGAAGAGGAGCCCCCAGACAACGGGGAGGCTATTAACGGTGAACTGGACGCTTCCTGCTACCATGTGAGCATGAAAATGTCCATCGATGCGGCCACACCGCGCCTATGTGGCGAGCTTTTTGTGCCGTTGAAATGTGATGCCCTGGCGGCTGCACTGCCTGTTGCCCTGGGCGCTGCCGCCGCCGCTGATGCTGACACCGACGCAGATGCTGCTGCTGACGATGCCTCTGCCAGCACGCTTACCCCCGCCCATGCTCACGCCAAAGTGGCTGCACAGCTGCCGTCGCCACCGCCCAACCAGGCGATGCCGGCACGGAGCGGCACGCCACCGTGCCAGCTGTTGGAGCGTCTCAATTTCCCAGAGGGCAACATTATCAACACGCTGCACACGATCCTGGCCCTGCCGCCATTCGATCCATATGCACCGCCACCCAAATCGGACGTTGTCTACAAGGATGTGGTGTCGTTGATGCAATGGAGCCTGCGTGATGATAACGCCATCGAGCTGGAGCTGAGTGACAAATTGTTGCACGAGTGCGAGCACAAGAGCAACGATCCCAACGAGGAAGCGCGCTCGTATTTGGTAAGAGTAGAGAGAGAGATCTTGATGGATCAGTGATAATGCTTTATTCCTGCTCTTAAGATGGCCATTGAGAACATGAGACTGTTCTCGGAGGATCCAAAGAATCCGCTGCGCGATGCCGATGGACAGCTGCGTGCAATTACGGTGCGTTTGCCCCCCACACAAGAGAGTGCCATGCCCAGTGCATAATAATCCTAATGGGTTTTAGCTTTATTTTCAGAATCTTGCCTTTATATTTGTGAAGCATCGCAAGGATGAGTTCTTCACATTCTGTTCCTGCAAGGAATGTCTCGAATATCGCGAAACCATTATGGCCATCATGATGGATCAATTTAAGGCTGCACACATGGTGGTTATGCTGCTAGATGTATTAATTAAGGCCTACAGCCCCATGTTGAAGTAAGCAGAAAAACAAACCAAAGCCAAAATAAACTTTTGTTTATTTCTTTTTGCTTTTCCTAGAAACGATGCTGCCTATAACAAATTTGAGAAGCTGCTTGAATGCAATAAGGAAATATATTGGATTACCAGCGGCTATCTATACGATAAGAATGCCGAATATCTTGATTTTATTGATGACACAGCGATCTCCGACAACATGATATTAGTGCTATTCAGCGCCATGTAAGTGGAGCCGTCTGCCTCATTGTTTATTTATCTCTGCTGACTGTCATTCGATGCTCTAGTTTGATGGCCAACAACCCGATGCTTTTGCTGCAAATACTCGCCTACAATGTGGAATGCATTGTGAAGGCATTCTCCGAGGGCATGATTGAGATTGCCCTAAATATACAGGAGAACGAAAAGATATCCGCCGAGAGGATGCTGACATGTAAGTCGATAATAACTAATTAATTGTTTAAACTATTAATTAATCTCTCTCTATCCCACACGTTCAGATATACTTGATGGCTACTCTGACTTGAATTGCATCTCACAGAAAATTTCGCTTAGTTTGTTTGCGTTTGAGAATGATTTCCTGCGCAAGTTTAAGCTGTCGTGGGTGCTGCTGTGCCAGCGCTTGTTTCAGCAGCATGTCTTTACGCCGCTGGGGGATACCATGCTGGCGTGCATTCTGTCGCTGAAGGAGGCCGCACCCTCGGCGCAGACGACGGCGCTGATCAAGCGCTATATGCTGTTCGATGAGCACATGCATTCGATTGAACGCCGCTGGACGGACATTTGGATCGAGCTTAACAAGTTTAACTTGTCGGACACGGAGCACGATCGTCGGATGGGCCTCTTGGATGTGTATAACATATTCGACAAGGTCGTCCTAGATGCCACCTCCTTCTCCCTGCCCGACATAAGCGACGATGAGTTCATCGACTTTCAACGCATTGTCGATCGTCAGCTGGCCTGGAAGAACATTATGGCCTTTACGAAATTGAAGTGGCCCGATGGCTTTTACGATCCACCCAACAAGCTCGTGCACGAGGATCTATGCAAGAAGTGTAATTCGCTGCTGGAACACCATCATGAGTACGATCTGTACACCTTTTACTTAATGTTTCCCTTATTAATGTTCGTTTTTTCCTTGTGGCAGGAACTGCAAATGCATCACTTGTTCTATTGCCGGCACACCGCTGCGTCCGCGGCTGGCTGGCCATTGTGCCAAGTGCACGACGCTTGGGATTGTCGAAAAGGATCCAAAGCTCATGAAGTCCAAAATTCTCAGCACCTGTACCAGCGATGAGGCTAAGCACAATGCGGCAACGGCAGCGGCAGCCAGCACCAGTTTGGCAGCCCAGCAGCGCCGCTGCAACGAGCTACCACCCGACACAGCTGTCGATGAGCAGCCCAGCAGCAGTGGCGCGGTCTTCCGACGACAGTCGGAGACCGATGTGCTTCGCACAACATATCACATTGCATGGGCCGTGTTCCAGCATTTGACCACTCGCAAGCGCTATCGACACGAGGCCATCGAGTCTCAGTACTTTTGCGGCGAGAATTGTCGCGTTTCCGCCTGCCAATTGGCACGCAAAATTCTTGCCAATCAATTGTCGCCGCCACTGACAAAGTATTTGCTGCGCTGCTTTCAGCCGCTCTCGTTTACGCGCGAAGAGCTGCGCTCCACGCTGCCATCGCTGATGTTCTTCAATCGCAAGCTGGCGCCGAGTCCCGCCGAGCTGCAGGAGCTTAAGAATCAGCACTATGTGTACAAAACCTACTGGACCTTTGTCCTGTCCATCTATGCCAACTTCTTTGTCAAATTCAACTCGAACAGCACGGACTTTAAGCATCTGGAGCTACTCAAAGGTGATCTACGGCTGCGTCTGAATAGTGTTGTTGGCGACAAGGACGATGGTCGATTCGAGCAGTTTCTAGCACAGGTTATTGGGTAAGCTATCAGCTGCCAGATATCAATGAACTCCACTCTAAAATGTGTATATTTTTGCTTGCAGCTACTCTCCCTTCAAAATCACCGATGAGTAAGTTGTGAACATATTTTTTATCGCTGATTTAAAGTGTATATCGGGCAAGGGAAAGCAATCTTGTCTCCTGCTTGACTGCTTGAAGTCACTCTCCTGTAACATGGCAGACGCGACGCCCCTTGTTGATGCTGTAGTTTAACGTCCAAATCCGGATCGACGCCCAACGCTCTGTCACAATGTTTAGTTACGTGAAATATTCGATTGCTGAGAGCGAAGCTTTAACTGGTACCAGGGGAATGTGTTGCCAATCCGAATGGGAAGTTATGTGGCAGCAATTATAGAAGATTTCTCCGTGCTTTATGCTACTTAGAAGGAGCTTTCAAAGTTCTTTCATCCCACAAGAGCCTATTTAGACTCGTTTGCAAAAGAGTGATTACGCTGAATCAACTCGAGCCACACTAAAGTTTCTCACAGATTTACACTAACGTTGGAGGCATAGAGAGAGTGCTGAACACACCGGTTGACCTAACAGGACCTTTAATTTGATTAATAATATTGTTAATATAAGTAAACATAGGCGGCTGCTGCATAAGGTTCAACTGAAACACATACTGATTCCACTTTAATTGACTTAAAATATTTGAATATTTGTAATAATTCTACGCACTTGTCGTCTTTCTGCTCCCATTTGCAGTTTCACGCTGGGAGATGCCAACATAGAGAAGATGCAATTTGGCGTTGATCAACTGATGATGTTGCACGACTCACAGATAATGTAAGTGTCAAAATACCCTGGTGTGGGGCACCGCCTAATCTTAATTTTGCCTTGCAGCAAACGCACCAAGCCGGACAGCACCACTGGCTTGGCCTCGTCCAAGTCCAAGACGAGTGACATGACCATGACGCAGCCGGGCGGACGTGCCAACAATGGAGGTGGATCCAAAAAGAGCAAAGAGAAGATGCGCAAGTGTAAGTCGTGTAGGAATATCACACATGAAACATTTAATCATTTGATGATCCTTAGGCTGTGCTGACTATGCGGACATTGGGGAGCCGTGCAAGGAAAATCACTCGAAGAAGCGCGTCAAGAAGGAGTGCAGTCATGCGCGCTACAACGAGACACGCGATCGCCTTCGCAAGAAGTTGTCGCAGATTGTCAACGATCGGAAGAGCAAGAATGCCCAAGAGGCGAGCACACCGCCCACAGTTGCTGCTGCCTCTCCAGCTCCTGCTCCTCCTGCAGCCGCGCCAGCCAAGGCCAAGCCGAAGCCAGAGCCTGAGGCGGTGGCATCCGCAGCAAACCCACCAAAACGTCCACCCAAAGCAGAGTCCGTGCAGAATCAACCTCCAACGCTGAAAGTTTGTGCCACAGCGCAGCTGCAGTCGAGTCTGTCTGCGCCAGCGGTAGCACCCCCGTCAGCAGCCCTTAACGAGATGGGAGATGAGGGCAAGCGGAACAACGATAGTCTGCTGTGCCTCCACAGCCTCTGCAAGAGCATACCTGTGCAGCCGGATGCAGCCACAGTTGCGGATTGTAATGATGCGGATGCGGATGATGATGATGAGGATGAGGGTGGAGTCGATGATGATGAGAGCGTGGCAGTTGAGGGCGAAAGCAACAGCAATAGCAACAGCTATCCCGGCGACTACACCAAGGAGGAGATGATGCACGACTTTGCCGAGTTCCTGGGCAGCTACACGCGCGAACAGGATCAGCAGCGTTGGATCAACGAAACGTTGAACTTCATCGAAGGCAAGTCACAGCAGCCGCAGACCATGAATCCGAAGAAGGCGGCCAAAAAGGCCAAGCAGAAGCAGCGAAGGGAAGAGGAGAAGCGAATCAAGGAGCTGGAGGATTTGCGCAGCCAATTCCTGGGCATCTACTTCAAGGAGTTCGTGGACAAGTACGAGATGAAGGCTCTGACGGCTGCTGGCGGCCGAAAGCGCGAGAAGAAGCGCATCAGCGAGCTGGAGGCCAACATTAAGAATCTCCAGCGAGCCAAGGGCAAGGTGGAGACGGGCATTCTGGAGCTAATAGCCACCGTGAAGCAGGCCAATAGCGAGTTCAAGTTCTCCTATCTACCCACAAAAGAGCAGCAGCTGGCCAAGCTGGATGAGATTGTCAAGGGGCGTTGTACGAGTGCCGCAAAGCCAACACCAGCACCAGCGGCGACTAACACGCTGTTTAGCGGCGCCTTCTTTCCGGGACAACAGAACACTCCGCCAGTGTGCTACTCTCCGCCCCAGCAGCAGCAACAGCAGCAGCAACAACTTTTCCATTCCATCACTGCCGATCCCTCGAAGCGCATTGTGACCATACGACGTGTTCAACTGCCCCATCCGGGGGCCGAGCAGCAGGTGACTGTTGTCGCCAAAGGCAGCTCACCGCACGAGGATAAGCTGCTCTACACATTCGTCAACGGGCATATGGTGGCCTCTGCACATCCCGAGGCGGCAGCTGCATCTGGTAGCTCGCAGCAGCCAGCGCCCAGTGTGCCGGAGAAGAGTGCCAAGGCTAAGAAGAAAGAGGCTAAGCGTGCAGCGGCAGCGGCTGCTGCTAATGCGGCTGCCACAGCTGCTGCTGCTGCTGCTGCTGCTGCTGCCGCCGCTGCTGCAAATGCTGCCGCTGCTGCGGCCGCTGAAAAGGAAGCCAAGAGTCAAAACGTCGCCAAGACCAGCAAAAAGCAACAGAAAAAGAAAGCTGTGGCTGCTGTTGTGGGTTCCTCGAGTTCTGCCTCTAACAACAGTTCCAAATCCCACACGCCTCAGAGCAGTGCCGTCAACACGCGAGAGAACTCCGTCTGCAGCATGCCACCCAAGGCTGCAGCGAGCAAAAAGAGTGCCAAGACTGCGCCGGTGGTGAAACCCATTAAAGCGCGGCCACAGCCCACCGAGGCGAAGGTTACGCCCTTGCCAGAGCCCCCCAAAAGACAAAAGCGCGTCAAGCCCCGGCTGGAACAGGGACAGCTTGACAATAATCCATTCAAGTCGCTTCACATGCAGGACTCCTCGGAGGGTGATTGTTCCACCAGCAGCGAAACGGAGGAGAGTCCAACCCTGCCTCCCCCACCACCTCCCAAGGCCGCTCCCAAAGTGTCAGCGCCTAAGCAGACGCCTGCTCCAGCTGTCGCTCCATTGGCCAGCAAGTCGAAAGCAGCTGCCACGCCAGCGCCTGCTGCTGTCAAGCATGTGAAGCAGTCGGAGACTGTGCCACAAAAGTCACAACAAACGCAGGCTTCCAAGCAGCCTACGCAGACGAGTGCTAATACACGCAAGGGCGTTGCTGCCTCAAGCAAGACGGGGCAGCAGCAACAGCAGCCACAGCAGCAGCAGCAGCAGCAGCACCCCAGCAAGAGCCAGTCGCAGCGCAGCACAGATTCTTCGAGAAAGCAAAAGGCTCAGGGGCAGTCCGATCGTCAGCAGCAGCAGCCACACCAGCAGCAGCAGCCACACCAGCAGCAGCAGCAGCAGTCGCAGGCCCATCAGCAGCAGTCCACACGCGGTGGTCGTGGCAGCGGCAGATCGAAGCCACAGCAGCAGCAACACTCGGATTCCATTTCAAATGTGGGTGAAGCCAGTGCAGCGCCCAGCGGTGCAGCAAAGCGATCGCAACGCGGCAAGCGCGGACATCGCCAGAAGCAGGGTACGTGCCGAACTCCACTTTAACAGCACACAAGTCTTTTAATTACCTTTTTTACTCTAGAAGATCTCTCTGGCATTCCACACAATATGGGCTATTTTAATCCCAACGAAGTTGCCATTCCACCGGCCATGTCACATGCTCCTGGCAGTGCTGGTAGTGGCAGCTATGCGAGCACTTTGGCCCAGCAAATGCAGCACTTGCGCATCAGCAATCCCTCCTCCTCCGCCTCCACATCGAAGCTACAGCAGCAGCAGCAGCAGTCGCCCAATTGCAGCATTATGGATCAGCTGAATCGTGGCGTACAGGTGGAGCATCTCTCCCTACCGCCAGGCATTACGCTGACCAAAGTGGATCCGGCCAAAAGTGAGCAGCTGCGCCAGAAGAGCGAATCCATTCGACTGCTGTCCAAGCCGTTGGTTGATCAGCCGCAACAGCAGAACCAGCACCAGCTGCATCTCCAGCAGCATAACTTCCAACAGTCACAGCTCATGGCTGGCTACTATGGTGCAGCAGGTGCCTCTGGCATGGATCCCAATGCTGTCATCATGGTGGAGGCCAATCCACGTCCCAATCGTAATAGCCAGTCCTTTGTCGCCTCCAATGTGGCAGCGGCTGCCTCGGCGGCAAGTGTCAGTGGCAGTGGCAAATCCTCGCGACGTCGTCGTCGCAATCGTGGCAAGTCCGGCGGTGGCAGTGCTAGTGGCGGGAACTCTGGCGGCGCCAATAAGCAGCGTAGCGGAGGACCTGGAGGGGAACACCAAAAGTCTGCCGCTGCAGCAGCACATGCAGCGACCATTGAGGCCAATGCCGCTGGCAACATCATTACGCTGCGTAATCCAATGTTCCATTCGGGCAACGGACCAACAGCAGCAGTAGCCGGCGGCGGCAGCATGATGCCAACCAATCCGAATCCCATGCCAGCGCCAGGTTAGTGAAGCCCTCGCCCCTTTAAGGCTATTTATATTGAAAATTGTCCCCCATTTGCAGCACGAAAATTTGGCGGTGGCTTGCCCGCTGCAGCCCCACCGATGGGTGGCATTGATCCACCTGCGGCGATTATTAAGAATGAGAACGGAATGTTCACCATACGCAATCCGGCGCTGCATCAGGCTGTCACCAATGGCCTGGCCATGGGCGGCTTCCGTCAGTTTAGCAGCAATGTCAGCTACTATACGCCACAGGAGGCTGCGGCTGAGGCAGCGCGTGCCACACAGCAGAAGCATCAGCAGCAGCAGCGACAGCAAGCTGCAGCTTCCAGCCATAGCAGCAGCAGCAGCTCCTCTGTGGCAGCGGCATCCAGCGATTTCTCATACTTCTCGAGTGGTTCGGTTGGCAGCGGCAGTACCAGTGGCGGCAGCAATGGCAACGGGACGCACAACAATATCAGTATTAGCTGTACAAACGTTCCCCTGGGCAGTGGCAGTGGCAGCAGTGGTTCCGCCAACAGCCCCGGACGACTGATGGGCGAAGCGGCGGTCATTGCACGTCCCAAGCAGTCGCAAAAGTGTCTGTCGGCGATTGGCAGCGAGCTGAAACAAAAGACCAAAGACAGCCACTCGACAGCAGCCGCAACGAGCCAATGGTCCACCTATGGTCAGACGCAACAGCAGCCAGAGTATGGTCCAGCCGGCGTGGGACCAGGCGGTTCCGTCTTGCAGGAGAAATACCAGCAGTCGAGCTACTACAACGGCTTCGATGTCTTCTCCGCCGGCCCGTCCCAGGTGCCATGCGGCGGGCAGGGACAAGGCGACTGCCATATGCATCATAGCTGTGGCGACGACTCACCGCCGCCCACCATCACTGGTTTCAATTCCTACCTTGAGGGCATACCCAACACCGGCGTCATAAGCTACGACGACGCTTCCTTCCTCAAGAACTTGATACCGGGACAGCATCTCAACAACGAGGTGTGTGCAGAGCAATGGTGGCCATCCTATGCCTCCTATTTCAACTACTTTCAGAATCAGCGTCAGCATCAGCGACATGAACATGGACATGGACAGAGGCCAGCCCATGCCCCCTACAATCAATATTATGAGAGTCAGAACCAGGGGCAGAATCAGGGTCAGGATCAGGGTGCAAGCTTTAAAGATTACACCGCAAACGTGGCCGAGCAAATGAAAAAGAATATTTCATCATTTTGTTTTTCATATTTTTCGTCTTGATCGAAGCTTGAGGACATATTTAACGTTGTACAACACTACAACTTCAGCGAAAGAAAGAATATAAAATAAATATAACGGGCATTGTGGTTGCCTTATTCCATTGGGGCAGTTCCTAAATTTACTTCAGAAAGCGTTAGAAAACATGCCAAATAATACTCTAGGAAGCAGAGACAACTGAGGATCTCATTTTAAAGATCTAACTTAGGTGTTTAGCTGCAACAAGCTCTTAAACCAGTGAATATCTCTCTTCCTTTTCGCAGGTCTCGATACACAATATCTCGGAGTCTAACTTTACGCGCAACAACACATCGCCATCGCCGCATCGCGTGGAGATAACCAGTGTGTTTGGCAATCGTGTGCACTCCTCCAATGCCAATCCCTACGAGCAGCAGTCATCGCAAACGGGGGTCTCCTCCAGCGGCAGCTACTGCGATAGCGTAGGCGCAGACTATGGCAGTGGTGAGTGGCAAACAGAGAGAGCGAGAGAGAGATGAAAACCTAACCTCAATGTTTCCTTTTTGCAGATTCCCACCTGTTTGTGCAGAGCGGCATGATGCCACGACTGTCACAGGCGACGGCGGGTCCGGGACCGGATCCATTTGTCTATGACTTTGAGCCGGCCAGTCAGCAGTCCAAAGCAGCCAGTGTGGCCAGCGATTTGAATGAGTTTCTGCGCCGCAGTCCGCTGAGCCAGCGCACGTCACCCTACAGTCCCGACGAGAATGCGGCAGCTCTGGAGACATTTGTCCAGAATATGAACGCCCTGCAGATAGCGAGCGATGCTGAGCAGTGCTCGCGTCTGAATGGAACTGGTGGCGGCCCAAATGATGCAACCGTGGCGGATGCAACAGCTGGAGGCGCAGCCGCCGCTGCCTCCTGGTGGTAAACACACAAACACACATACAATCCCGGATGGAGCTGGCACACACACACACATCCAAGCGGTAGCCACGCCCCGTTACGCAGACATTTCATTGATAAGATAAACGAAAGAAACAAAAAAACAGGAAAAGGATCCAAGAAATGATTCAAAAAATGGCTTAAAAGTCAATTTCGATGTTTCAACAAAAAAGCAGAAAAAAAACACAAAAAATAAAAGAAAATTTACTTAGATGGAACTCTTGATCTACGAGAAGATAAATATGTGATAATAATTGGTTTTTAGTTTTAATTGTTATATTTCTTTTTTTTTTTAATTTTCTGCTAGTAATTATTTAAAAATCTCTTAAATAGGGATAAGCTGCATAAAATACTTTCAGGAGAGTTTATTCACATCTCAAAGACAAGCGAACCGGAGGCATAACTAACGCTAGAGTCCTCCATGTCCTGGCACTGACTGCTCTGCGCATATTGCAGGAACTTGAAGCTCATCTTGTCGTAGCCCTGATCCTGCAGGGCCTTGACAGCGCCCAGCATCACACCAATGGGATGACGGCCGCATATCGTATTATTGTACTTTCTCAAGTACTCCGTGAACGCTGTGGGGCTGAGCGTCTCGATGAGATCCATGCCCTGCTTGTCCAGCTTCTCAATGGATTTGTGTATCTGGCCGCAGGAGCGATCGTAGTATGTGTAGCTAAAGCGTTGACCCCAATGGCAAAAGTCGGAGGATATCACAAATAGGTTCGTTGGGTCCATAAAGTACGAGGACAACAGGCTGCCATACTGCGCCTCCTGCTCGGGATTCAATGAACCCACAAGTATGGGCACAATGGTGAACTGATCCTTGTAGCTGTGCAGAAAGAAGGTGAAATAAATATATTTTTAGATTGGCAAACAAAGAGGCTGCAGGTACAGTCCAAGAAGTGGCCTGTTACGCGCAGAACCCAGACAGAAACGCAGTCTAAAATTGTTAAACTCACTCCTCCATGACCTTGGCTATGTACGGCAAATGCATCTCAATGGAGTGCTCATCCTCGTCCGTTTTCATGTCCATCCACGAGAACTGGCCCGTCTTCTCCAACTCAGCGTTGACTACAAAACACAAAACGAAATGAGTAACGATTCCAGCAGCCAGCCAGCGCCACGAAACTCACTCTGAGTATCAATTTTGAGATCGTAGAGTGGTGTCCGGTACTTTTTCGCCACGGACAAAGCACAACCGCGCAGGCGCACATGATGCGAGGGACCCAGAATGAAGATACGTTTGCTGAAAGCAGAAAAAACCCATTAAAGAGGTGAATGCTGCATCTACAAATAAATCATATGCCTTACACAACAACGGGACTGATCTGGCGATAGGCAAAGGCTGAACAGGCCCCACAGTAGGTATAGCCGGCATGTCTGCAATGGAAGTGAAGTGCCAAAAAAGTAGTCAAGTGGGTAAGTTCCTCCACCAAAAACACTTTCGTTGTTCGACTCACGGTGCAATGATGGCACGGGCCGGGCCATGCGAGAGCTCAGCAGCACCCAGCCAGCGATCCAATTGCCTGGAGAGCTCGGCACCTGCAAAAACAAATGAAATATTTTAGTCGTGAGTCTCTCAGTTGGCCAGGAGTTGCCTAGCAGCAAATAAACAATAGAGTCAAACTTTTATGTTCAGTGCTGGAGCAGAACTCATACAAGCAGCGCTTAAATATTTCCATTAAATTTTAGTTACACTTATTTGACGGCATGGATATTGCAAAGGACAAGCAGAGCGATGAGCTACTGAAGCGCATTCACAATGAATTGACGGCCATTCTGGCAGAGGAGTAAGTTTTCCCCCACCTTTTCCCCAGATACCTAAGCTCTAGCGACATTCTCCCTCTGGCAGAACAAAAGATCCAGAGCGAAAGTTGTCTTATGAAACACTTTTAAGGCCCAATCCGTTGCCCATCTTCGGAGCCGGCAAGCAGGAAAATGGGAAGCCAAAGAAGTCCGTGACATTCCCAAAACCCCAGGCACACAAACGAGTTGAGGGTACAAAAGCTGTAGAGCCACGTCTAGCTGGTGGTGATGCACAGAAAAAGGAGTCTGAGCCAACGACATCATCCTCTGCTGCGTCGGTTAAGGTTGAGCTGGAGGGCGGCAAGTGGGATGTCCCACCCACGGATCGCACTCTCCGAACCGAGTTCATGGACTCGTCAGCCATGAAGAGCATCGACGGAGACCTGCAGAAGATGCAGGTGGAGCTGAAGCAGAGCTACGAACTGTTCCAGGGCATAGGCGAGAAGTTGGAGTCGATCAACTTCAGCTGCCTCAAGAGCCGCATACGCGACCTGCACCTGAACAGCTCCACCAGCGGGGGAGGCAAGGTGGCCACCGATGAGTTGCAGAAAACATTTGAGGCCCACTACGTGAAGAATAATCTGGACAAACTGACCGCAAACGTGAGCCAGGGCTTCCGCCGTCATCCCGGGGAGTTTGGCGACATTCCAGAGCTGAGTACATTCTTCCAGGCCTGCACGCAGCTGGAGCACGGCTTGGATGCCCTGAAGCAGCAGCGGCGGCGCAGCAATGAACTGGAGAAGCGCCTCTGCTGGGCCACAGAGATCGCCTACGATCGCATGGACGAGATACGCAATGCGGTTGGCAACAAGCCGGAATCCAATTTTTAAACTCCATTTTAATCAGTTGACGTTGGACAATGTTCCTTTTGGGGTCTTTATTTTATCAAAATAAAATAAAATTCTCACATACGTTTACACAATTGTCTGTATGTGTGCAACATATGCGAGTTGAGATTCACACGCCCACATACATATGTACATACATATGTATATGTATATGCATGCATGTTCCGTCACTGACCTGCATCCGTGTACCAGCTGCCTGCGTGGGTTGCTCTTCTGGCTGACATTTCGGCTATGTTATTCGAAGGAAAGGCTGCTTTAAATCAATTTCAGTAGTTTCCAATTTATTCAGTGCTCTCCTCTCGCCGTTCTTTGCCTTTCTTTGTGTTTTGCTTTGTTCCTCTTCTTTTCCTGCACCCACGAAATGACGATGTCATCGATGTATCGCTGCGGTGCATTCCACTTGCCGATACTTTCCGCTTGGTGCCAGCTGCGATCAGACTGTGTGAAAAATTAATTAAAATAATTAAAGAAATGATGTTAATAAAGTTGGAGGTCTCTCGTGGAAAGATTGGTTTGTAAGTGCTCTTAATTCATTTTTTAGACTTTGAAATTAATTTCTCTGCAACGATATATCGTGGTGGTCGAAGAAAACCATCGATCAGTCACGCAGCAAAAACCATCGATAGTGCCATCGAAGGTTTTGCAGCCCTAGTGTGCAAGTGGAAGAAGGAAATGAAATATATTATTTGAATAAAATCTTGTGCAATTTAATATTAATTTAATTGTGATAAGTTGGATAAATAAATAGTCGCAGGTGTGTTAACTTTGGTCGAGCTGTGGGAGCGCACGATATACAACACGCGGCAACGAGTAGCATCGCGGCACCAAGTAGCATCGCATCGCGTCATTGCTGTACTAAAAACTAAAAATTGCCGTATTCGTATTCCGCCATTTTGAAAGCTGCGAGTGGAATTTGGACGCGTTGCTGGTAAAAAAATTGTTGAAAACTATCTAAAAAGTGTCTATAATTAATGAAAAATAGAAACAACTTGTGTATAAACATGGCCGCCAAGTGTTTCTACTCGAAAATAGTGTGTGGCATTGTGTTTGGCACGTGAATTTCGCCCAATTGCAAACTCGCAAAAAAACGATAGTGCTGCGGACGCCGCCGTCGCCGCCACCACAAAGAAAAAGGCAAAAGCAATAAAATAAGCGAAAAATATGTGCGTCGCTGTTTAATAATACTATGGTCTGGTTTCCGCTGCATTTTCACGTATACCTATTTATTTGATTTGTCTTTTTGTTTGCCACCAACTCAAGTATGCGTGTGTTTGCATTAACCCCTGTATGTGTATGCGGATGCGTGTAAGTGTGTGTGCGCGATAAACGTGTACAAGAAAAATTTAAACGTGCAGAATTCTGATGAATTTTTAAAGCGGAACTATTTTGTGTGTGCATGTGTGAGTGAGTACGTTCACGATACACAAAACAACGCGTTTTTATAATTTAATGCACAGTTCTGCTGAGTAAGTGAGTGAGTGAGTGAGTGTGCGTGCCATAAAATTCTCTGCGAAACATAAATAAAATTGTGCAATAATTTCCCATACGACTCGAACCGCACACAGATACACATTCATTCGTCCGATTGAAATATGCGTTTGTGTCTATTTCTTCTTTTTGCCTTCTGCCGCTGCCCCTGCGGCTGCATGTGACTGTTCTGTGCCTGCCTGCCTGCCTGCCAGCCGAGTGACAATATACACGCAAGGTTCACTGCGCAACGACCCCTCCCCTGTCCTGGGTATGGTTATACAGTACCCACACCACTGCAACATGCTGTCTCATCGTTGTTTTGCCGCCGCCGCATTTAGCGCGGGAGTCAGAGCGAGGCAGCCTGTAAACTAAAGCCAGTTCGGTTTCTTCTCGGACCCCGGGGCCGTGTTGACACATTTCTACGAGGTTTTTGGTCCTTTAAAGGGTGAAAGTGCCTCCTTGTTGGAGCCCCCCGTCCCCTACTGAACTACTCGTTCCTGTTCCCCTTCTCGTTCAACACTTGAAAATGACGGAGCGACCCGGCCCGAGCGTCGCTTTAAATCGCTTAAAGCGGACCCAGCCCGGCCCCACTCTGGTTCTCGTGACGTGTGCGCATTAAAGTTTTATCTCTTCCCTCTTGAATGGTTTGGCTGGTCAGTCGGCTCGCTGAGTGGATGGGATATAAATAGTTTCGCCTGCATATTGATTGGAAATCCATGGCTGCCGCCTGGAATTACGTTTTCGCATTGTGGTTTGTTTATATGCGCATACACACATGCATGGATTTACACAAACACAGAGACCCACACAAAACTCTCTGGAATAGCCGTACAGAGGCTGCGTCTGAAAACGAATTTGATAAAGTTGCTACTGTCAATGTCCATAAATATTGTGAGCACACCCCCACATTGTCGCCCCTTCCTATTTTCCATTCAAATTGACGCTTGTTCCTAGTTTTGTTACAATTTTTTCGCTTGTCGTGTTTTTGTCGCTGTTTGTCCGTTAGTTTGCCCTTTCACTGTCCGACGTGCCTGTACCCATCTCAAA